AACAAATGTATTTATTATTTGAGGTAGATATTATAATTGTTTTATCCAGTTTTATCTAAAACCAAATAATTATCTTTTAACAAATTTTTGTCGAAAAATTAAAATAAGAAAATTTAGATTTGTTTTAAAAAACTCTAATTTATTTCTCCGCTAATTTTTTTTTACAAATCCAATTTTTTATAACCTCATAATCCTTCAGTAACTGAATTTTATTTGTGTTCGCCCCATCAAAATTGGTGGGCAAAAATATATCTTTAGGAAACTCCAGCTAATTGCCAAACATAATCGCAATTTGCTAATTTTATTAGAGCGAGTTTTGCTGTCCCAGAGCTCTGCGTCGTCGTGAATCATAAATAATTACACTCACAAGAGCCATATCGCGTAACGCCGCGCGGGAAAATGACCCAAAATTAAGCCGCAACTGCCGCTCGCAAATGAAGAAAAATCACCAGCAAGAAAGAATAATCATCTGAAGCGGCCCGGGAGAAATAATTAATGCACAAATTGCGACAGGGAGTGGCTCAGCTTGATTAATCGCAGTCGAATAATGGTTGCGTATTTGCCCTAAATCCATTCACCCCGGCGACTGGCAGGCAGGACGAATTCACTGCACCTTTTCCCTACCGATTTCTATGCTCCGGCAATTAGTGCCGGCCGGACAGACCGTCGTCGGGTTAATGGGCCGCCGATAGATAATTCGTTGCTTTCCAGTGAAACACAAATTACGCCTGGTCTTGAGTTGGGCCTGACACACACTCTACCGTTCCGCCCAGATGCATTTGCGCTTATCGGACCCGAGCGTATGTGTTTGAAGAGGATTGAGTTGCCTGTCCTGAGCAAAAGGGAAGACTGAAAGAAAGCGGTTTCAGCCACAGATTCTATATGGTTTTGCTCTCGCAGTCATTTTTCATTCAGCTAACAATAAGAAGGGTTGTCCCAAAAATTTTGCTTGTATATACTTGCGTCAGTGTCAAAATTGAGCTCTTAAGAAACAATATTTCACTGTCTGAAGTTAAATGATTTTTTCTATATAAAATAGATAGATAGAAATATTTCAAAGCATTAAAAGAATACAAAAATTGGCTTTAGACAAAATTTATCTTAAATATTTTCATAACATAGTTTCTTGCTAGTGGCGGTGCCGTTTTTTACAACAATTCCTTTTCCATATAAATTGTTTTCAAAAATTTATTGTTAACAATGTGATGTAACAAGAAATTAAACAATTAAAAGTTTTAATAATAAGATTAATTATAAGTTGAAATGCATTGCATGTATTTATTTAATTAAAAAAATGAAGCTATTAACAAACTATTTCTAATAATGTTAATCTCGCACTGCCCCCTGCTGGACACGAAGTGCTTTTTCTTTTCCGCCCCCGGCCTCCTCAATCTGCTTCCCTCTGGAATGGCGTTCTCCGTGTTCCACGCCAAGACTACGGTGTGCCATCAGATTAGCCCTGGTTCTCCGTTTAGAGATAAATATATATTTACAGGACATAACTTGCCCAATAAGTTGGCCCCACTTGATGCTGGGCACCTTTGTTTATGAGATTATCCGCCTACAGGCATTATCTGCAAACCCAGCCTCGGAGCATTATTTTGAGCAGACGACAATGGTTCTCTCTTGCAGCTCGTGTGGCCTACTTTTGTTTCCGCGCGCTGAATCAATTAGTAGTTGTCGTGGAACAGTAATTTAATTAGCGGGAGAGCTGGAGGTGCGATGAAAATGCAGCGCGTTTGCTCCTAGCAAGCTCTTTGCAAAAACGACTCACATTGTTAGTCAGACATATTAAACGAGATCAATCATTTCTAAAGTTAAACTAATGCACACAATTAACTGATTGAAATTTACGTGAACAGATTAGATATTCACTTAAAAATTTCATTTTCTTTCATTAAAATTAAACAGCTTTCCTCTAATTGTTCTCAACTTCAGCATAGGACACTATTAAATTCGATTACAAATCGTGGGTTGCATGTCATGATAGGCGTTTGATGCTTTCGTGTCGTGAATAAAAAAAGGGAACCTCCACATGCGATATATTGTTCTAATCCACTTGATGTGTGGCAGACAGATAGGTGGATAATGCGCGGCACAAGCGTCGGAGATTTAATAAAAAGCTGATTTTCACGAAATAACGGGGGTTGTGAGCAAATCTCTAGATTATTTGAAAGAGCTAAATGGCCATTTTACACGCACAGTTATTTTGATGAAGCATTTCCTAAAACTGTGATATTATTATAAGGCGTCAAAGAAACAGTATGTACTTGTTAAATTGGATGGTGAAATTTTGAGCAGGTTTACGACTCCTCTTGGGGGGATGACCCATAAATCTCGGAGATGACAGGTCAAATTTTACAGCACCCTCCAGTGGGATGCGAAAATGCTATACATACTCGAGCCGCTGCTTAAAATTTTTTTTCTGCAGGAGGAAAACTTCAAGCAGAAAAAATTATAAAGAAGATTTTCTCTTTCTGAATGAAAGCGGACTGATTGCGAAACAAAATTTAGTTTAAATTGTTCATAAATAATAATAGAGCTTGGAAAAAGCAGCTCATTAGGGGAGGAAAAGAGCTCATCATAAGTTGATCGTGCGTCTTGTTCAGCAGAGGTGCGAGGCTAATGGCAAATTCATGCACCAGCCTGTTGAGACCGACGTGCCTTTCCACGCCACCCGGAAAACTGGAGGAAAATTCGCGCGCACATGAAATTGAACAATTTGAACACCAGCTGCGTCTTGGCGAAATTTTTATAGGCGGCCAGGAATTTGAAATAGAAGGGGTGAAAACGGGTCCGCTTTAATCATTACGCAGGGTACGTATTCCTTGGAGACTGCTTTGGTCCTTCGGCTTCTGCATACTAAGCAACCCTAGCTCGTTGTGATGCCATACACCCCATTAAAATGCAAATTGATTTTTTTGCGTGTAAACTTCGTCGGACGACTAATTGTGTTTTCGCTAAAGATTCAAGGCTGAGATATGGTGTGTGCGCATATTAATTAATTAAGACACCTGCCCAGATTGCAAGAGCAACCATATCTGCGTAAACAAGGGCCGTGCTCTCGTAGACCTCAATTACTGTTTCCCGCCCGCAGACAAAATCATCAACAATGTCTGCGTTTTTATCCCCAATATTCAGTTAGTTATTTTTCACTTATTTTATTTTGATAGAAAAAAGGAGCAACTTCTTGTTATTGTGCCTATCTGCAAGCAAAAGTTAAAATGGAATTTTTCATTTTGATCACTGTTAGAAGAACTACCAAATAATTTATATAAACATGTTTTTTGAAATATTTTTAGAAACTTTAAATAATCCTTCAAAAAGAACTGTGTTACGTTTTTTATTATTTAAATTTGGAGAAAAGGAATTATAGTATTGCTCTGGTATTGTTATTTTCAGAAAATTTTTAACCATTCATATACTGTAAAAAAATATCTTTCATAAATTACGTTGTCTGAATTTTCAAGAAAAGAAAAAAGTGAATCTTCACCAAGTCAAAAATGATTAATAACGTTTAAAATTGTATGCAACATTCTGGCTCATGTACAAATGGCCGGGTGAAAGATTGTCAAATTGTGTTGCCGAGATATTATGGAGAAAAAAATCATCGCAAGATTCTTGAATAACCATTTGTCAACGTCTTTTGGTGCCAAGAAGCGGTGCATCTGTTTGCCCGAAAATAGCGCCACTTCCAAATCGAACCCTTGTAAATTTAGAGTCAGTCATTAAAGAACCCTCCGAGTGTCACCTGCTCGCCATTGTCTCGCTCGGAATTCTCGATCGCACGTTGTCAAAGGCGCGCGGTAATTAAAAAAGAAAGCTGCGCCCTACTCCAATGAATCATTGAGCAGCTCGTCGCTTGAAACGCAGCCAAGAAAGCGAGATGTGTGTTGTCGCCCTTGGAACTCATTAATCGGATGGAGCGAGCAACAATTGCGCTAGCGAGAGAACGTTCGTTTAGCTCTCACGTTTTATTATTTTCGAGAAAAAGCAGAAAGGGTGGAGATTTACCGATGCTGGCAGGCCTTCCTTCGGACGCCGGCAAATCGATCTCGCTCTCTCACGCTCGCTATACCCCCTTGTTTATAAATTTATCTTGGCAAAAATGTGTGTTGCCGACGTGTGTTGTGGCGTAGAAGGAAAACTACACGACAGCGGCTGCGTTTCATCTTTGTGTATCTGTTAACCCTTAATAAAATTATTACCAGTCTGCACAAAATCTTTTATATTTCAATTGATGTACTTTCATTTAAATTAAATATGTTCAATTCCAGAAAAATAAAAAGTGATATTGAAAGTGTAATACAGAAATTATTGTAATTGAATCCTAAATTCAATAAAAAGGAGAATGATTTTTTTGTTAAAATAAATGAATCTTTTAAAAATATTTTGACTTGTTGGTGAGCTTTTTTTACTGGAAGGAGATATTGTAACAATTAACCAGTTTTTTAATTGTATTTTCTGAAATAAAAAGCATTTATATCCACAGTTGCTGCAGATTTTGTGTAATTTCAGCGAAAAAGCATCAGTAAAAATACAACTCCGATGAATTTTATTTTTATTAACGTCTTTCTTTCGCTCGGCAAAGAAAATTTGTAATTGCAAATGGAACTGTCTGGGGGAAGAAAACGTGTTGCGAAACAAGAGATTTCATTAAGCCGGACGCGTGTGGGAAAGGGTGGTGGCGGCGTGGGCCGACGTTCGCCTAAAGGTCACCGCCGAATGCCGGGGCAAATGCGAAAGGTACAGAGAGAGCGGCCGGACTAAAAAAGGCCGCCTGCGCTTGCGTCCGCCCGATATGCACCCTCGATCACTTTCGCACTATTCTGATCGGGGGCAGCGAATGATCTCGCACCTTTGGAGGAAAAAGCAGCCCCGAGGTGCGAAAAGCAACCCTCGACATTTTAACTTGTTGCTGCGGCTTAACCTTTTTTTGGCCAGCCGGGCCAGTGGCGCGCACCTTTTGCAGCCCGGCCGGCTGCGGACTTTGAACTCACCTGCTGCTGGCCGTGGACGAGAAGGGGCATCAAGAGGTCGGTGGTGCGTTCGCCATTAGTCCCGGGTGTCGCGACGCACCTTAAAGCCACCCTCCATAGAGGCAGCCGAGTAAGCAAGCCCGGCCGGAGCAAATCAAGGAGCACCGAACCCCGCGCGAACGACTTTCGGCCAGTGAGGATACGCGGCGTGTGTGTTGCCTCGGCGGCGGGTGGCTGCTCGCCCCGGCTGCGCTCGCCGCACGCCCTGCCCGCCGCTAACGCAACCCTTGCCCACTTTCCCGCCTATTTTCATAGATGGTGCGCTCTGCGCACCGACCTCTCCCAGGCCCATGTCCACAGAAATTTCACGAGAAAATTATAAATTTTTATTTAAATTCATTCCATTTTTAGTGCGCTGAAAGTTTAAATATTTCTTATTAATTTGAAAATGTATTAAATATTAATGTACATTGCATCAAAATTAAAATTATTGCAATATTCAATAAAGTAATAATTCTCAAGAACAAAAAATTATACCATTCAAATTTGAAAACGTAACGTTTTGTGTTGCCTTTTCAAATATTCTCAGCGAAAAACTTTACAAATATTTGTCCCTCAAATTTTTCTACAGTAATAATATAATAGAAATTCAATATAAAATTTTAATAAACATAGTATTCCTTAAAATTCTTCATTGTTATTTTCCCTTTTTTTGGAAATTTTTTTCGCCGTCTAGAAAATTGCACCACCAGCCTGCCAAAAATAAACATAGTTCAAGTTCTCCAGTCTATCGCGTCTTCAATTTCCGGCAAACTGCCACGCTCTCTGAGCCTGTCTTTCTGCTTGGAAAAGTGGGCATTTTGCCAACATTGGCAATAAGAAGGGTGCACGCAGGCGAATGTGCCAGAGGTCAACGACCGACACACGCGCGTTTGTCGCCGTTTTTTGTCGCCACTCATAAAACTATTGCTGATCCCCTCTCAATTGATTTTTATAATTTAAATGAAGTTTTAAGTCAGATCAATATATGTCTTACAAAAAATGTTATGAAATGAAAATTAAAAATAAATTACGTTCAGGGCCCTCTGCAGGTTGCTGAAAAGCAGGAAGCAGTCGTATCTGTGCGCCGAGCAAAGAAATATCTTCTCAAAGACATAGCAGAGCACATTTGCGGGTGTAATTTGATTTGCTAGAGGCAAAGTGCTGCTGATGAGGCTTCAATAGCCAAAACAGCTGACCAGCACAAAAACATGCGGACTGATTGGGGGTGGTTTTAAAGAATATAAATTTTGAGAAATTTTTGCCCCCAAATATTATTTTTTATTATGACAACAGGAATTTTCTAACTTCTATACACTGGTTTTGTCTCAGTATCTCGCGTCTCGGAACGTAATTCCACGCAAAAGGCGATAAGTCAAAAGTTTTAAAACTAAAATTTAATTATTTCCCGTTTCGAGTGGTTTCTTTGGGTATTAAATTCTCAGAATGCATTAATCGTAGATCGTAAATCTTAAGAGTATTTCTTGATTCCAATAAAAAGTCGAAAATTTTACTAAAGCTCTAGGTCTCGCGCGGGTAGCGCCAGTCCTTGTTAAAAAATAGTCCTTGTTTTGATAAATACTTTAATCATAGGTCTACAGAGGACTTTTTGATTCCTATTTAAAAAGTCGGAAATTTTACTAAAGCTCTAGGTCTCGCGCGGGTAGCGCCAGTCCTTGTTAAAAAATAGACCTTGTTTTGATAAATACTTTAATCATAGGTCTACAGAGGACTTTTTGATTCCTATTTAAAAAGTCGGAAATTTTACTAAAGCTCTAGGTCTCGCGCGGGTAGCGCCAGTCCTTGTTAAAAAATAGTCCTTGTTTTGATAAATACTTTAATCATAGGTCTACAGAGGACTTTTTGATTCCTATTTAAAAAGTCGGAAATTTTACTAAAGCTTTAGGTCTCGCGCGGGTAGCGCCAGTCCTTGTTAAAAAATAGTCCTTGTTTTGATAAATACTTTAATCATAGGTCTACAGAGGACTTTTTGATTCCTATTTAAAAAGTCGGAAATTTTACTAAAGCTCTAGGTCTCGCGCGGGTAGCGCCAGTCCTTGTTAAAAAATAGACCTTGTTTTGATAAATACTTTAATCATAGGTCTACAGAGGACTTTTTGATTCCTATTTAAAAAGTCGGAAATTTTACTAAAGCTCTAGGTCTCGCGCGGGTAGCGCCAGTCCTTGTTAAAAAATAGTCCTTGTTTTGATAAATACTTTAATCATAGGTCTACAGAGGACTTTTTGATTCCTATTTAAAAAGTCGGAAATTTTACTAAAGCTCTAGGTCTCGCGCGGGTAGCGCCAGTCCTTGTTAAAAAATAGTCCTTGTTTTGATAAATACTTTAATCATAGGTCTACAGAGGACTTTTTGATTCCTATTTAAAAAGTCGGAAATTTTACTAAAGCTCTAGGTCTCGCGCGGGTAGCGCCAGTCCTTGTTAAAAAATAGTCCTTGTTTTGATAAATACTTTAATCATAGGTCTACAGAGGACTTTTTGATTCCTATTTAAAAAGTCGGAAATTTTACTAAAGCTCTAGGTCTCGCGCGGGTAGCGCCAGTCCTTGTTAAAAAATAGTCCTTGTTTTGATAAATACTTTAATCATAGGTCTACAGAGGACTTTTTGATTCCTATTTAAAAAGTCGGAAATTTTACTAAAGCTCTAGGTCTCGCGCGGGTAGCGCCAGTCCTTGTTAAAAAATAGTCCTTGTTTTGATAAATACTTTAATCATAGGTCTACAGAGGACTTTTTGATTCCTATTTAAAAAGTCGGAAATTTTACTAAAGCTCTAGGTCTCGCGCGGGTAGCGCCAGTCCTTGTTAAAAAATAGACCTTGTTTTGATAAATACTTTAATCATAGGTCTACAGAGGACTTTTTGATTCCTATTTAAAAAGTCGGAAATTTTACTAAAGCTCTAGGTCTCGCGCGGGTAGCGCCAGTCCTTGTTAAAAAATAGTCCTTGTTTTGATAAATACTTTAATCATAGGTCTACAGAGGACTTTTTGATTCCTATTTAAAAAGTCGGAAATTTTACTAAAGCTCTAGGTCTCGCGCGGGTAGCGCCAGTCCTTGTTAAAAAATAGTCCTTGTTTTGATAAATACTTTAATCATAGGTCTACAGAGGACTTTTTGATTCCTATTTAAAAAGTCGGAAATTTTACTAAAGCTCTAGGTCTCGCGCGGGTAGCGCCAGTCCTTGTTAAAAAATAGACCTTGTTTTGATAAATACTTTAATCATAGGTCTACAGAGGACTTTTTGATTCCTATTTAAAAAGTCGGAAATTTTACTAAAGCTCTAGGTCTCGCGCGGGTAGCGCCAGTCCTTGTTAAAAAATAGACCTTGTTTTGATTAATACTTTTATCATAGGTTCGGCCAACTTCAGGAAAGAACAACCCTTCACTCGCAGTCCCCTGAGATAAACCCACAATCTGAGGGATGGAGGACAAGCGCACGCCTTTTACGCGCCTTCAGAGACTGAATACTGAATTTCTGTTTGTCAGTGGAAGGGCCGAACTGACACGCCTCTTTTTTGTATTGCAGGTGCAGGCAGCTTCTAGCAGCGCTAGCAGCACGCGAGATGAACCAAAACAAACTGCCAAAAATGTATGTGGAAACATTGAACGGGCATTAAATCAATGTGAAGGTGCATGATACTGCATTAATATTGTCTCCGTATACAAAGGCTCTTGAAAATATTGAAATCATGGTTGACGCATTTTTCGATTCGATCCCATGGTAATTTAAATTATAGTACTACATTTTAATAAGAAACATATAATATGTAAAGACTTTTGCCTGTGCAGATTGACATAGTGAGCTTTTATAATAAATATATTTCAATTTTTTCAGGGATGAGTTGCAAGAAACCCAAAGTCCAATATCTGAGGACTGCAAAAACTTTTTTGATTCTTTGACCAATAACAAGACAATGTCTCCATATATAGCAACTAAAAATACAAAAGCTAATGAGCCAAACACAAACAAACCTACAGACAGTACAGACGCTGCAACTCAGATGTCAAGTATCAAATTCGTCTTCCCTCGACAGAGCTCTCTGACAGCACCTCATCAAGCATTTTACTTGGCAGCCCGATATGGAACTCAGGCAGCCAAAAGGAGCCAGCCACTGTTCCAAAGGTTGCACCGCCTTGTTTTGGTTGAGCAAAAGGAGTTCAACGAATGGGCAGCAACGATCACTATTCCGTCTTCACATCACAAAGGCTTGCTGCTCCAAGGTGCCTCTCTTCTGTCAGCCAGGAAAGAATATGTGCCAGATCTAATTTTTAAACAGGTTTGTCTTGTACATTTTGAGATGAAAAAGTAATTAATATTTTAATTTATTCCAGCCGTACAGCCTTCACAAGGAGCTGCCAATGAAGAAGCCTGCTCGGAGTTCCGTACACCTGAGGCCAGTCCAACACTTATTCTCGGAAGGCCGAGTCGCAGCTTGTCGGCAACTTGAAGGGACTATTAACTGTACACTTCCAGTCAAATTTAATGTCAGCAAAAGAAGTACTGCTTTAAGCAGTGATTCGGTGGCTCAAAAATTGGCCAGTGAGCATTCTGCAGATGTTTTGATATGTCCCAGTGCTGTTTACGCCTTGGTTAATCCAGCTGGGACAGATGTTGATGTGCCCCTGACAGTTAAACAGATTGCAGGTAGAGTGAGAAGGGAAAACAAAATGAATTTTGAGATCATTGTTGAATTCTGTAGGTTCGGACGGGAAAAGTCATCGTGTTCTTGTGCTGGACAGGACACTTTCTGCAGTCAATCTCAGCGAGCAGAAGAAAATTAGATGGGCTGCAAGAAAAGCTGCTAAAAGAGAATTTTTTAAATTCGACAAAAGTTATTTTGAGTAAGTATCTTTTACCCAATTATTGAGAAACCCAAAAATTTATTATTTTGTTGTTGATGCTTATTTTTATAAAAAATTATTTTTCAGTTTCTCAAAGATGAGCGTCCAAGTTAATAAAAGTGATTTTACCCAGCAACTGAAAGACTACTCCGCTGCTAAGGTACTTAATAAATTGCCATTAAATGAAATTAAGTTGTAAAAGAATACATTCCAGACTGGCCAATTAAATAGAAACCATACATACTCCCTGTGGTGTCTTGAGCACGAGCGCACGTCCAGAAACGCAGACAGTGCTTGGGGAAGACAAGGCTGCCCCATTAGATTACTTGTCAGATCTCAGTGCCATGGCTTCCAGGAAAGAGACCAAGCAGCACCACTGTTTGTACACTTAGGAGTAAAACTGGAGCACCGACCTGAATGGGGTGCCGAGTTATTAAACCAAAGTGAAATAATGCGAGACTGGGTTGCTACATTATTGAGACCTGAAGCTATGCTTCTCAGAGCTAGGGTGGATGCCAAAACTTTAGAGGTGAATATGCCTTATCCCTAAAAAAATATATTATAACTTTTTTGCATAATAGGTTATCCAAGTTGAGCCAAAAGACTCGAGAACAGTAGCGAGTGAAGCCCGCCAAGGGGGCATTAACTGTCCAGCTACTCTCAGTGGCCTCCACACTTTGCTTTCGGAATTAATGCAGCTGCCTGAAGGCAATTTCATCTTGCGTGTTAAACCGCAGAGAGCTGAAGTTCTCGTCTTTGGCCCTGCACTGCCAGGGCAGGCATCAGTCAACCTTGACGAGGAGTACAAGAAAGATGTTCCTGATGTGGATAACTCTGTTTTGAGTATTGCCATTGACCCAAATGTTGTCACTCCTTTCTGTATGCAAAATCAACGAGTGCCTGCCACCTTCCTCCCTCTGACGTCTCCTACTAAGTATAATATTATTTTGGTTTTATTTTTCACTAAAATTAATGACTTTATGATATTTAGGTCCAATCCCAAAAAGAAATCCAGGAATAAGCGTAAAAAGGCATCGCTTGAAAATAATATATAATAAAGACAGTGGAGGCTCCTAAATGCAGCAAGCAGGAAGAATATTATTTTAATTTTGCCTCCAGAAAATTTTAATTCACATGTGAAATAGGTAAATAATGATAAAAAAAAATGAGCAAACACGGATTTATATTACTTTTGCTTACTTAACTTATTTGCATTTTGTTAGTCGCGAGATCCTTTGGCTATATTTTGAAAATTTAAGTTCACATTAACAAAACTAGAAAACTCCCGCTCCTCAAGCGGAAATTGTTGCTGTATTGAGTTGTCACTGTTGCCCCAGGTTACTTGTAAGCTGAAGTATTATGTATTGTTTTTTAATTAAGCCTCGAATTTCTCACAATTTAAGTTTTAAGTCAATTCCTGAACTTGTTTTTATTAATTCTTCGCTTTCAATAAAATATAGGTTACTGCAATATTTTAATAAATTACAATTAAAAAATTCAAACAAAACTCAATTTCCCTTTAGTATAACTGGGGTATTTGCAGCTGAAATTTAACTCTTCCTTTAGTACATGTTTATTAATAATTGAAACAAACAATTTTATGGTTTTTTAGGCATTCAATTTACTTGAGTATCAAAAGTACAATCAATTGCATAATCCATTATACAATCGTATCTTTAGAAAATATTTTTATCATATCATCTTAATATTACAAAAGTGAAAAAGAGGTGGAGAACTCAAGAAGTCCGACTAGCACCTGCTGGTTCAGCAGTAGGTTTCACTCGCCCCATCAAAGGGCCACAAGCTTTTGTCCGCCCCCGCCACTGGCCTCGGGGCTTCCAGCTTCTCGGGTCTGACTGGCACAGGTGGCGACTGGTGTGAGGCCAGTGCCACCAGCCATCAAACTGTCAAAGTTAAGGCCTGTGGAGGGGGTGCAGATGTTGACGCCGGCTTCGTTCTTGAAGGCAGGCGCCACGGCGAGAGTGGAAGGTCGTCGGGGCACCAGGCGAGGAGGTGGTCTTTTCAAGTCTTGCTGCTGCAGTCGACAACACGGTCTGTGCGCTTCCAGCAGGAACTCGAGCTCCTCTTTGTCACGCTGCAGTTGCTGGATTTCAGCTTGCATCGCCTGTTTCTTTGCTTCGAGACCTTCTGTTTCTTCAACCAGCTCGTTTGTGTGGTCGAGTCTTCGTTTGCGGCAACGGGCAGCTGCCAGTTTGTTTCTCTCTCGTCTGACGCTTCTCCTTGCTTCCTCCTCAGGAGTACACTGAAAAAATAATATTATTTATTAGATTTAAGTAATAAATAAAAATTATGATGAAATGCTTCCAAAGCTATTAAATTTTTAAAATAAAATCTTTTAAATTGAGAAAAACTGCCATTAAAAAAAAAAAAAAAATTGAAAAAACATTATTTCAATTCTTGCTCAAATAATATATGCTTTAAAACGAGTTGCAAAAAGTTGCTAGTGGGAGTTAGTCACCAGCTTGGGTCCAGATAATAATTTCAGCTAAATTTATGGCAGCGACAATTAGCGGGGCGTTTTGGAGCTGGCCAAGCGCTCAAATGAGTGCTCTGCTTGAGACTTTTGCTCACCTTGTCGTCCTTGACTGGCCGCCTACCACCAACATTCCTTCTGGTCGTTGTGGCTGGAGCTGGGCTGCTGCTGAGGGATGGACTGGACGGCGCTGACGGCTGCTGCCAGCCCTTGGCTAACTCAGAATTCACGAACACGGTGCCACCACCACTATTCACTGCAAATAGAAAAAATAAACACATAAGTGATTATGCTAAACATTTTATTTAAATGTGGAGAAAAAAGCTGATCGTTTATAACTAATTTTAAGTTATTAATTGTTATTAAATAATTCATAAAATTAACTGAAGTTTGTTTCATTCAAGTTTTTAGCTTTGAGATTAAGAAAAAAAATTAGATTTGAAAAAATGAAATTTTCTAAACAGTTTGTTGAGAAAACTGCATTATTATATAATAACCGTCTTTTAATTAAGGGCTTAGTGGAGGGGTGTCTACGTTTGATAGGACGTCGTATGCAAAACAAAAATAAACCACTTACTTGTGCTTGTGTGGTTGGCGTGATGAACCACCGGGGGCACAAAGCCGGCAGAGTGGTTTGTGTGTTGGGGTTGCAGCTCCAGGAAAGTCTGCTCAATATTTCTCAGGGTGGTCGGCGTCAGGGTGGCCGTCGTCCTGGTCGGCACCCCCGAGTTGAGCCCCTCGAGCGCCACAAACTGGAACAATAAAAAACGCAAAGGTAAAAAATCTGAAGAATCAAATTTTGAAAGAAAAAAAATGGGCCAAAATAAGGGTGGCCACCTGCTGGAAGAGCACGTCGGCCGGGGCGGCCAGCAGGTCCAGCAGGGGGTCGGCCATTTAGGTTGAGTTGGGTCGTTCGGCTCGCTCGCTCGCGCTTGTCGCGCAAACTGAGAGAGCAGGCCCGATTTAGAAATTCGCCTTGGCACGCGGCCCAATGGGGAGGCGCGCGCCCCGCGAGAAAATTAGTGACTCAGCCCCCCTGCCCCCTAACTCTTTGGTTGTGACTCACGCGCACCATTGTTGTCCGACACACACGCATTGTTGGGCGGCCAAAGTTGAAGGAACCAGCAAATAATACAATAGTGAGTCACTTTGTTTTCGTTTGTCCAGCACTGGACTTTGGATTTGGTGGGCCGCGACGGGAGGCGTAATTATTGGAGGCGATTTACGCCCTGCCGCGAAGCAAACAGGCAGCATCAATACTATTATATTACTGCCATATGCACTAATGAACTGCGATGAGTGTACTTTGATGTTTGTTACTTTGAAAATTTGAAGCAAACAAAAATAATAATAATAATAAAACAGTATAATATTCTAATAAATAAATTTTTTAAGTAAAAATATTGCGTTTACCTTTCAGAAGAAATATTTATATGATATTATTATGTATAGAAACAATATTAACTTTATGTTTAAATTTATATAAGTGAGCAAAAATTTAAGTATAAAAAATGCTTTTTAAAATAGTTTGGTTCTTTTAATGAAATACCATATAAAATAATATAGCAATTAATTTATAAATAAAATTAAAAAAAACTTTGAAATAAGCTGTTTAAAACATTTCCGCGTTCATTTTTATTATTAATTTGCAGGTTCATTGTTATTTTTCTTTAAAAAGTACATCTTCATGGGGCGTTATTTTGTTTAATTTTAACAATTAATAAATTTAAATAAATTTAAGTTTAATAAATAAACATATTTTAAAAGTTTAAATAGATTTTTTAATACAACCCTATGAAATTATTCCAAATGGAGAGTAGCAATTTTTTTTATTAAATCAAATTCGGCATTCCCTTTTTATCTGTTCCCTGTTGTCGTCATCACTGCCCTGCCTTCACTTCACACGTCGATAAAAGTTTATTGGCCCTCATCACTGACAAACCCTGCGCTTGTGAAAACGACACGCATTCGCAATTTAGATAACGCGCAAAATTTCGAAATATCACACCCACGGCCTTCCAAAATTCCTAGCTGAATTAAACTGAAATAGTTTTCATCATTAATTAATCGGGTAGGGATGTGATTTCAAAGCAATAAGGATCTGTGCCACGGGTTGCTTCACGGGGAAATCCAGGTAAAGAGACGAGGAGGTGAGGAAAGAAAGTAAGCGATTAACATGACTGACGCAATAAGTTTTCAAGTTTCTTGTATATGTACATTTAAACTTAGCGGTACATCTTGTTCTTTCCTCTCCTTTTATATTGTTAGAAAATCGGATTACAAATTCAAACCTGAGCCTTGATTTCAGGATAGGGTCGAAAACAATCACGGATTGTCATTGACGCAAACAATGGTAAATAAGGAAGGAAATTCAAGCGGGGAACAAACAAAAAGCTACGACATTTTCCTGCGGCGCCACACCCTGCTAACCAAATAGGTTTTCCGTCGACACAAATCTAGAATATACCAGTCAATCGGAGAACAAAATGACAAAAATTTTAAAAATTGAACTTTGGAGAGAGAAATTCTAGAGAGGAAATAAAATTGCGCAATGATATTAAGATAGTGAAAAATCTGTCATTCCTGGCGCGTTCAGGTGAGAAAAGAGAGGAGACGAATTTTTTAAGATAAAAACTACGCATTTTGCTTTACCGTGGGCAAAAGTTGGCGCTGCGACGGCCCGAAATCGCCAAATTTCACATTCGAATACGTGCAGAGTCGCAACGACGCAAACACGACGCAGGAAGAGTGAGTGACAACTGGTGCTCCGAGTGGAGTTCACCTTATCAACAGATCACGTGACCGCGGCCACCTGCCGTGGTGCCCCACGGATGACGTCATCCGCGCTGCAAAGGAGTGCCCGGCCTGCCTCGACGAGTGTCGCAACCGCCGCGAAATGAGCCAGCAAATTTCAAGTGAACGCGCACAGTAAAAACGGTACGAATTTTATCTTGTACGAAAAAAATTTAAAAAACCGAATTTGAAAAATGACTTAAATTGGCGAACGGAATGCACCTGCTGCCTGGCGGAGGAATTTCCGGCCATGCCGCGGGCAGGATGAGTCACTGTTGTTTTCACTTGGGAGCGACCGAGCGTGGAAAAGGAGGAAAAATTAAATCTCGGGGGTTGCAACTCACCAGCTTGGACTCAATGGAGGGCGAGTAGGAAAAATCCGAATACATGGTGCTGAAGTCTTCGAACAGCGGCGCAGAAGAATAGCAATCGGGCACTAAACGCGACATGAACGGGCGGGCGTTTCACGTCCCGGCAGCGAGAAGAGTCGACTGACGAGTCGCCGACCAGCACACTGGTTTTAGCCAAGGACGGCGGTGACGTCATCGCCGCCCAACCAGCAGTGGGGGTATTTTACTTGGAATCGCGCGGTCCGTCTCCGACCGCGGGCCCACGACTCCACGAACAAACAACACCTCCCGCGAGAGGGAAAAAAAGAGACAGATTTTCGCTTTGCCCCTATTTTTCTTTGTAATATGGACCGCAATGCGGGATGAAGTCACGAGGGTGGTTTCTCCCTCGTTGATGTCTCTCGAGTTCGATTGAGCAGAACATGCAGGTACTTTAATTTCTTGAATGCGAGTCTGGCTTTTGATCGAGGTTCAATTGCGCTCTAATTACATAATGCCACTGCAGGGTTATTTTTACAGTTCGTTTGTTGGCATCGGACTGTGGCTATTTCGGTGCTTTGTTTCGAAATGCTTTGTTCGTCGGAAAAGCAGGTTCTTGCCGTGTTGTTGCTAAAAAGAAAAAAAATTAAACAAAATGCAAAAATAGCTTTAAATTATCTGTAATATTTCCAAACGTGTTTTTGTTACAAGAAATATTTAAATTATTTTTCTATATCATTCACCACAAATATTTATCATTGCATTTAAATAAATAAAAATGGTGGATATTATTTTTTGAGTGATTTGTGTCTTGGCCGAATTTCCAGCGGCTACAGTAAATCCCGAAAATTCTTTATTATATTTGTCTATAGATCAGTGCATTTTAGGCGCTTTATACGAAATCTTCAAAAATAGGATCTTTGATCATGATTAAAAAGAACGATCGCCTTAAATACGGCCACAAATCAGCACAAAGTCGCATAAAAGTATTCACAAAGAATTTCACCCAAATTCAAGACCGATAGATTTAGAGGCTCCTCTGTATTTTTTCTCTTTTATCACAAAAACGTAATCATTTTAATTAGCGTCAATCAAAGCTTCATTATCGATTTGACTTTGGCCATCGCTTTGTTTTGGATCGCGTGAATTCCAAAGTTCTTATTAATGTGCAAATTATAACTTGATACAATCTCCAAAGGTGACGTGTGAAAAAAACGGTTATCATTGTTATTAATAAAAAAGATAAATTTATTGATGTAATCCAAATTACCTTCAAAGAATTTTGTTATTTTATAACAAAACTCGGTCTTTTCCCAATTTATGTTGGTCACGTTGCAGAAAAATTAGCCCAAGTTTTTCACATTTTGCTGCAAAATTTGAGGCGAGGATGTGAATTTTTGGGTACTGTAAACAAACATGTAATTTGCGACTGAAGTGTTAAAAATAAGTCAAATAAGTGCGAGCCCCAAGGCTCGGAGTAGAGACCAATGAACCCTGAACCGCTAATTCCAAGTAAAACTTTTAATAAAATCCCACAAATAGCAAGGAAAGTGTGTTGTTATTATTATCGATTTTATTAGGATATAATTGGAAATTCAATTATATTGGAAGTTTTATTCTTTTATTTGAAATTATTAATTTAAAGTCACCTACCCTATACAAAAACACTTTAAAAGAACCATTAAATTATAATCATTAAATTAATTTAAATAAATATCATTATTTGCCATATAATTAAAAAAAGAGTTGAAGATATATTAAGTTGCAAATGTTTATTATTTATGTTTCATTAAAAACAAAGAATTAAATTTAAAATAATAATTATTTATTTTAAATTTCAAACTATTTTGCAAATATTATAAGTTTTACTATTCTGACGTATCCTTATCAATATTTTCTATTGCCACAAGGAATGCAGTCTTTTGAGGAGCTTTATCTCAACAATCGTGAACCAAACACCTTGAAAAGTGTAGCAACATCCGGAGCGTTGGATTCCAATCTCTGGCTTTTCCTCATCGCGGCGCGGTCTATTATTAATTATTTTTAACTCTCAGATCCTCTGCTGTCGCCGTTTAGAATAACCAGAATCGCGACTTGGCATTGAGAAATGTGAAAACCCCGTGTGTGCGACTTTGAGTTCGAACGCGGATCTAAAGAGTGAAAGTGCTGTACTAGTGAAATAAAGAGAGAGAGGAAAAGTTGGTGGATGTGGGAGCCGCCAGCCCCTAGCCAGAGTGGGCCAAGTGGTCGCTCGTCCGTCGCTGACCTCCCCCACTGTTGTTTGGCAACACGCGATGGATCGATAATGCACGCGAAGGGCACCCACCCCCCTGAATCGCACCCCTAGCGAAATTATTTCCACTACCTCCATGCTAAAATTTCAACTCTCCGAGCGGCTTCTGATAAATTTCACTTTTTTCTTGATTGAAGTTAAAATCTGCCGAATTAAATTGGTGAAATTCAGGGGCCCTCGAAGGGTTTCCGCGACCCCGGCGCGGTCGCGCGCGAGCGAGCAGCGTGTTGTTATTATTCGGGGGTGGAAGCACGTGCGGCGATCGATATGACGGCGGGCGCCTGCCAGGGGGAGGTAAATGTAATAAAAATCCACCCCTCGCGCGGACATTTAATTTTTAAAGGCCGTCTGTTGCACTTTGAAGAAAATTTTCCAAAGTTCCAAAACAAAATTCAGCGAGAATTTTAATTCGCCAAAATAAAATTTTTGTTCATTGCGGTTGCGTCGATTTGACAGGTGGGCGGGCACCAGCAGCCGAAAGGATTGCACGAAAATTTCCAGCTGGCCGCGGTTCCAAAAGCCAAATTTAAACTTGGAATATGTGAATGGAAAATTTTTCTAAATTAAAAAATGCGTGTTGAAAATTCACAGCCCTAGGGGGCCGTCAGGGGGTGGCGTGGGGGCGAAAAGTGACAGGTGCTGGGTGTGCAGGGCAGATATAGTTGCGAATTATTTGAGACACTAACCTGGAAGTTTGACGACGGAGACATGGTCTCTCGTTTGATCTCGACGGAGGCCACCGTGGCCAGAGTGGCCAGGAAGCCTGGGGGCATTTTGTCCTGCAGGCCGGATTCAAACATGACTCAACCGGGGAAGCCCAAGGGCTTGCGTCACCGCTCTGCTATTTCCAACGACTGACGTCAGGCACCGAGGAACCCCGACCGAGTCGCACCGAAGACGCGCGAGAGGCCCCGAATTCGCACCAGAGCTGACTCACCCGCCCCCAACAAGGGGACTCCGAGCGGGACGTGCCGATCGTGGTCCATGATCAGCGCAGCCTCCACTTTTCTCAGAATCTCGACTGGCGGTTCTCAGAACCGTTCGCTTCTCGGGCATGGGGCTAAATTCTTCAAATTGATCGCGGTCGAGAGTATGACTCACCCGCCGGTCGCCAAACTTGATTGAGACACAAATTTATTTGCTGCACTTGGATTAAATTTTGCCGATTAAAAATTTTTTATTTTCATTAATTTGTAAGGCGGGATAAGCTTTGAAATTTTTTCAAAGGATTTCATTTGAACAATAATAACTTAATTATTTTAAACAGAATTTACACTCTTGTAATTTTCAAACTATTCAATTTTAGAACATTATTGTGTACCTTATAAATTTGATTTTGCATTAATTGAGTTCATCAAATTATTTAAAAAAATTTAAATTGTAGAAAGAATAATGAAATAAGATCGTTTAAAAAAATAGAGTTAGATGTTAGATTATTTATTATTAAAAAAAAATGATACCAAATTTCATATTTTTACGCATCAAAAGTTAGAAAAATAAAAATAATTCATGATATGCTATAAATTTTCAAAAATAATTGCTATAAATATTTTCATATATAAAGCAGCATTTAAGCCTATAGCTTGTATGGCGTAATAAAATTTTTAGTGCAGTGCTCTCGTCGTTGTCACATTGCGCGCACTGCATGGGGGGTGCAATGTATCTAGTTAGGAGCAGGCGGCTTGTCGTGGCTTCTCTGGGCGCATTAGAGAGCAAATAATAATGAGGCTCATGTGACTCTTCATTATTATTGTTGCGACAAGAGCAGCAGCACAATGCACCTGCATTCAAGGGCGGATGTGCCAACAATTCAAGCTCACAGAGTGAATAGTTAAAACTCGATTAACTACCGTTCTTAATGGTTTTAGAAAATTTCACTCTTGAAAGTAAATATATGGCGCGCCTAGAATGTGCTTGTTTGTTTTGAAAACAAAAGAGTTTATTATTGTTATTGAGGAATATACACATGAAAGTTGTTTGAAAGAAAATATTGATTAATTTCTATTCTTATAAACTAATAATAAGAATGCTTTATGAATCATAATTTAGATAAGAATACATAGTTGAGAAAATTGACGTTATTTATTTTATTGCTTTTAATTTTTCATCCTGAGAAAATGCAGCCACGGAATAAGGAAAAGGTTGAAAAAAATAATCCTGGCGCCAACAGCCCAATTAAAAAAAGTTGACTCAGCCAAGATTCGGCTGCCAAAAATCGTGTCGAGCGGCAGTTTTTGCGTTTTTTGGCTTTGAATTTTCCTCCATGCCATTATATTTGAGAGTGAGATAAAAACTTCCGCCCACAATAGTTTCCACTTTTTATCTCTTGACTGCTCCTAACCGCAACAACTGCCATGAGCTGGTCGGCGTGCACTCGGAAACTCTGCTTTGATATTTTGTCACGCGATTTTTCTCTCAACTCATGGCGCCAGGCCGAGATAATTAAAAGACTTCTCCGGAATAAAAGAGCAGTGCAGTAAAAAATAAAATTCTAGTAGTGTCTCTGGAAAGGCGGCGAGGCGCGTGATACATTAATTGTGCAGCTGTTTGAGTTTAAATTTTTTCTGCAAGACGCTGCAAGATATAGAGTTTCAGTATATTTCTGCACAATATAAAGCACAGCAGGTTTAATCAAATTTTTTGATAGACTTATTTAATTAATGTAGGAAGATAAAAATTATTACAAACATAATATAATTATAATTTTCAAGAATTTTTTATAACGTTAATTTTCTGAAATTTTTCTTTTAAAATCATCTAAAATGTTCCATTTTATTTATAGAAAGATAATAAATTAATTTTATTATTTTTCTAAGAACGATTTTTATATTGTTATTACTTTTCCACATCATTTTTTTTCCTGTTTACATAATATTGATCCCTAAATTTCGTTTTTCATGGCAACTATTTCACACTTAAGGGCAACTCTGTTTGATTTCAAATTTTCATGAAACCTGTTATTCAAGTTGCACCGGAAAACGTAATTAACCTTTTGTTGTGAAGTGTGAACGAATTCAGACGTGTTCTACCTTGCCCGCGGCGAGTTCAGACGAGTCAAAACATGTTACAACTCGTCACATCCTGCGCGCAAAGGGTGCGATTTGGTTTTGCCGCAGGCAGCGTGCAATGCACTGCAATCTTATTGTTGCTCTTCTTTGTCGCGTGAAGCCAGGTGAGGAGGAGCGCGGTCGGGATCACAGTCCAAGACCGAGATAGGCTATTTTCACGGGCATGAGTCATCGGTGCTCGACGATGACGTCATCGTCGCTCCCATTGCCTCTTATGGCAAAATAACAATGCGCCGCTTTCCTTGTGGCCCAGCTGGCGCCGCCGCGTGCGACGACAGATTTATATTTTTGGTGCAGCGTTTTTTTGGTGTTTTTTGGCACCTTTCCACTTGATTACGCTTTTAATCTGCCACTGATAAATTTTTGCACATGACTGATTTTCCTGTTTGTTTCAATGCGACACACAAAGATTGTAATTTTTCTTTTTTAGCAACTTTTGTGTGTGAATTACTATGTGGATGAAAATATAATGCAAATTAATATTTAAATCATTTCAATTACTAAACAAATATTGCAACATGGTCTCTCCACAAATGACTTAAATAAAAAAGCGCTTAATTTTAATTCACAGAGTTAATGAAGAGAACAAATTATATTGCAAATAAAATAATTAAAAAAAACTTACTATACATCACTACTTCCCGCATAATCAAAATTATTAATTAAAATACAGGCCGAACAAGACTTGATGTCTTGGCTTGACGCTGAAAAAAACAATGTTTAAAAAACTATTATTTTATATTTTTAGAAATAATGTGGTACTGTTTTTTTTTTAAATTACAAGTCAATTAAATAATATTATAATGTTGCAAACTCATAGCCATTAAAAGTAACCATATCGAAACTAAAATTTACAGAGTTGGCTTTGAATTCATCAATCATGAACCGATTATAACTTTAGGATTAGTTGTTTATAAACAATGATCTTATTGTTAAATTCCCAAAACTCTGAAGGTAATTTTGGGCAAAGAAATTATGCTTAAAGTTGATATTATAATTATTATTTTTTGAATTGCTCGAATCGATTTCTTATGAAGAAGACCTGTTATCACCATGTTATCACATTTGTTTGCCAAGGACAAGACGCAATAAATAAATGCATTTCCTATATTTAATTACTTGCAATTCTCTATTCGTCTTGCAAACTCAGAATAAAGAACTCAAAGAATGCACGTGCATAGCATCGCGCAGAAAAATCCAGTTTTGTATTTCGCTGCTGGGTCAGTTCGTTAGCAACAATGTGTTGATTAGCACACTTCTTCGTATTAACGACGTGTACATGTGTGTAAATGTACCAAGAGTTGCCGACCTTGCACATTTTATCAGGCAGCTTTTCTCGCACTTGTCGCCGCCGCTTTCGATTCTGATGCTCGCGCAGCTGCCGGCGCTTGCAAGTGCTGATAATGGAAAATACAAGAAACTCTAATGCCACACGGAATGCTGTTTAATTAGAGAGCACGCCTTGGCGTCGTGCTAAAGGAAAAGCAAAACAAAAATCGCACCCGCCGCGCTTTATTTTTTGCTCACGCCCGCTAATAAGCTCGCCCCGCAATTAGCATGCAAACTGTAAAGCGGCCGCGCTTTGCCACACAAAGCTATTCTCTAGTCGAAAATTGCGACAGGCGCGAGACGAGGAAAATAAGGACGTTCAAAATTAAACAAGGAAATAAGAAAGCTCTCAATGAGATCCTATATTGAAGTGATTTAAAAAAAACACTGCTCAAAAGAGAATAGCGGTCCCCTTCTTTTTTCTGTTTGTCCCATATTTTTGACCACTTCCCTTTATTCCTCACCCCATTATATAATCTCCCTACAGGATTTGATTGCGGTTGTGATAATGATTTATAGAAATTTTAATATTAAAGAGAAGAAGCTTTTATAAAATAATTTATTTCTAAACAAAAGGAGATGAAACATTTAATAAATATTGTTAAAATCATTTGAAGAAGTTTTAAATTTTTTTTTTTTAACTTTTTGATTTACATCAAATTAACAATATATTTATTCTCAAATGAAATCCTTGATTTGAAAAATTTTATTTGAACATATTACAACCTCTGTACAAAATTTTAATTTATAATCTTTACGCAGAATTAGAGATAAAGAGATAAAATTTTAAAAAAATTAAGAGAACTGAAACAAAATTGCTGCAAAACAAATGATATCAATTCCAAGAATAATTGTTGTTTCCAGGTATGTTGAAAAAGCCGTTTAATATAATATAATCAAGACAAGTGCCGTGTTTCATTATATTGCAAAGCTATTTGCAAATCACCGCTTCTAAAAGTCTATGGCTCGATCTGCGCAGCAATGACGTCATTCACATGCGGTATAGTTTAAGTGGAAGCATCCGCCTGTGGAAGGCGCACTCTTAAAATTGGCATTACGTGATATCAGAGAGATTTTCACCTTCAAGTCCTTTCGCTGCAATGACGTCGTGCCTTTGACGTCATAATGATCAAAAATAGAGGCCATAGCTATAGCAATAACCTCAAAAGCAGAGAGATAATGAAAACAAATAAATCGCTCTTTGGCAATTAACCGCCTTTGTGTTACGCCAATTTGGCGTGGCTTCGGGAAAACGTTGAAGGTGGAGTTTAAAGATTTTCTTATCTTTTTCTTGATTATAGAGGGGTTTAATAATCGTCATTATATGGGTTGATAAGAATTGCGTTATTTTAAAGGAGACAAAAGGAAGAGAATAAAATTAAAAAATAAATATAGCGCTCACAAATTGAACCAAATTTTAAAAATTAATCATCTATAATTTAATTTTTTTTATGTTTATAAACTAATTTTGTCATTTCATTTTTATATAACAAGAATATTAATAAACAAAAAATTTCTCGCTGCGATTTCTCATTAGCACTTTTTATTGTCAAATATATAATTATACATAAACGAAATAACCGGATATATCCATGAATAAGCAATAAAAGAATTTCAACTTACTCTTGCAAGACCTTTGTAATTATTTTTATCCGTGATTAATTTTATATTCAGAAAAGTAATCAATCACATTGTAGAATATAGTCAGTCTCAAATTAAATTAAACAAGTCTTGTTTCCAAAAAAAGTAAAAGAAAGACTATTAATTCTTTCTACATAACACAATAGAGCTGTGTTATGCAGTCAAGCTCCCTTTGCTTGCTTTCACAAGTTTAACCGATTAATTTGAAAATAATGTCGTCTTGGAGCAGAAACTAAGGCCACGCATTTTTAATTAAAGAGAGCTCAGAGCAATTCGTTTTCAAAATTGTAATATGTATGCTAATCATGCGCCCCAAACTGCTTTTGCATGGAGACGCGGCGCGGCCAACGCACAAAAGTGTTTGAGAAATAAAAGTGTGGCTCCGTTACTTGACCCTGTCCCGACTTGGGCGCGACAAGGCACAGTATTGTCTCCACACAGTGGTCCCGCCAGTCAGCCTTTCTATTTTATATTTTTTAAACTACACTACACTGTGCATTGTGCTGCTGTCTGTTTTGAAATTGCGCTCCTTTCAATATGATTTTTAATATTCAAGAAATAAGGAAATAGAGAATTTATTCATATTTGTTTGAATTAAAATCATAATAGTTTGAAATATTATTTTAAAATTTAAACATTTGCTACCGACATTATAGCTTTACTTCGAAATCTTAATCATGATTTTTATATAACTTATTAGCACTTATTAGGGAAGAATCTTTATTTTTATAAATTTTACATTTTTTTTTATGGCAACGTGCAACAATTTTAACTTAAAACAAAAGAAGTAAAAATAATTGTATGCATGTTCTTCTCCTTTTCGTTTTTCTCAGGGCTAAATGCATTTAAAAATGAAGAAACAAACAAGGAAAACAGACTCTAACAAAACACGTGCCCTGCTTTGTCGCACTTGCTTTATTTTACGACGACCCTTCACTCTTTGCACTATTATTATGGTAATTATCCATTGTACCAGTATTTACGCACTGTGCCTTTCTTGTTAAAGGCTGATAAAGTACTCCAGCGTGACCGCGTCGTCGTGCGTGTGCATTTTTTTCAGGCATAGGGTTTTGAGCATCAGGAGAGGCGATGACTCACCCAGCGCGCCTCAATCTTCCACTTTATCACATCATTATCATAATAATATCCAGCGCGCACAGCAAACATGCTGGAACAATAAAAAGCCTCTGCGTCTGCTTTTGTGTGTGTTATGATTTATGATATTTGAATTCTAGTTTTAACTACATTTATATTGCTGTTTGCTGTTGAGTTTAATTTGAGCCGATGGCGGAAAAAATATGTAATCATTTTTTAATTAAAATTTATAAAGTTAATTCAATTATCTAGCTGAAAGTAAAAAACTCAAAAAAATAAAGAAGAACTTCTCAACAGAATTAATAAATTTGATAAAATTATTTGGCTTGATAAAAATTTAAATCATTTTATTCATTTTCAATTCTGTCTCAACAAAATTGGTAGAAAAAAAATTAAAACAAAGGTAACAAAATTTCACTTCAATATTTAATATTCACTTCATATTTTTAAATTTTTTTCTTCCTTTTTTCAATCTTGTGAATGCATGAAACTAAAATGATTTAATTAGACAAATTAGATTTTATTTGAAAAATGCCGTCGTCTTACAATTAGTGCCAAAAATTACTATTTTCACGTCTCTCATTGGAGCCGGTTCTTTTTAATCCGCCGAATAACCGGTTGCATTCACTACTACCACCGCCAGCTGTTTTAATTTGTTTTGTTGTTTTGGTGATGAATGCAATTTCGGACGCGTTGTTGGCCTCCGTGGCCTCGTGTTTTTCGTGTGGCCGCCGTCAAAGTTTGACCATCGAAGGTCACACAGTCGTCGTTCGCAAACGTCTGGCCGCCGGGTAAGATTTATTCAAATCAACAAAGGAATGTGGCAGTTTTGGTACCAAAAATGACAATGCACCCCTGCAGCAGCCAGCAGAGCGAAATATTTTAGATAAATTGCTGTAAATAAAACGGATTTTTATTCAAGATTGAGATGAAATAAATTATCAATATTAAATTTGCAAACCGGATTTAATATTAACTTCTAAAATAAAATTATGGAATGTACATAATATAATACAATTAATTAACGCAGCGGATTATTTAATTTACATTTAAATTGTATCTATTTTTACATATTTATTTGCATTCTTTTGCACACAAAATTCTGATGAAAACTATTTTCAGAGGCTTCAGTTTAATTGATTTGGTTGAGGAAGAGTCGACTGGTCGACTTTTGGCCCTGAAGCGAATATCGTGTCACGGCCCTCAGGACGAGGCGGCCGCCCTTCGAGAGGTCCAGGTGCACAAGCAGGTGCGCCACCCGCACCTGATTGACCTTGTGGGCCATCGGTTGCTGTCCCTCCGAGGAGCCCAGCTAGGACCTACAAGCGAACTGCAGCTGCTGCTGCCCTACTACCAACGGGGCTCCCTGGCCTACGAGTTGGAGCGGCGGCAGCAGGGTGGAAACCATCTGAGCGAGAGTTTGCTGCTGGCGTTGTTCAAACAAGTTACAGAGGCCGTCCAGTGTCTTCACCAGGCTGGTCTCGCTCACAGGGACATCAAACCCCACAATGTCCTGCTCGACGACGACTTCAGTGCCATATTGATGGACCTTGGCTCTGCCACGGCTGCTAAAGTACAGGTATTTAAGCTTTTTTATATTTGAGTCTTTTTTTTAACAAGGTTTTTCAAAAATAATTATTTTGAATGCAGGTCTGTGGGAGTAGTGATGCGTGCAGACTTCAGGACGAGGCAGCTGAAAAGAGCTCCATGCCGTACAGAGCACCAGAATTGTTCAATGTCGATTCCTACTGCACTGTAGACCAAAGGACTGACATTTGGGTTTGTATTATTTTTTAAATTAATAAGTTGAAAAATCAAATCATATACAATTGTTAGAATTATAATTTGGTTTTGCCCCCCAGTCTCTCGGTTGCTTGATCTATGCAATGGCATTCTACAAATCACCTTTCGACCCAGTCTACGAAAGAGGCGACTCCGTCGCTTTGGCTGTCCTCAGTGGTAATATTGAAATACCAGAAAATTCAACATACTCCCAAGGGCTGCACGAACTGATTCTCTCCATGCTAAAAGTCAATGCGTCCGAGCGGCCGTTTGTTGAGGACATCCTCAAGATTGTTTCACAGTTGGAATTGGCCGCTCAAAGCCGCGTGTGATAATAAATGTTTAAAATTTATAAATTGTGACCAATTTTAATATGAAAAATATTTATTTGTGGAATGGCTACGATTGTTTCATTTGTGTAATTATTGAATTACAAATAATAATATCCTCTTGTTAAATAAATATTTTTTAAGATGTCAGCAAAGCAGAAAGCACAAATGTTGATTTCATCGAGTCATATGTAAGGGTTTGATAGTTTTATTTTTAAACTTCAAGATTATTTTACATGTCATTTCAATTTTTATTATTAAAATTCAACATTATTATTATTTATATTCTTTCATTTGACAACAATTAGTTAAAATCTCAGATTCAGTCGCACAAGACATTTCAACTTTAAATTGCCCCTAATTTTTCACTAGCTTGAATATTCACTTAGGATCGATCACGTTGTTACTCTTAAGTGTCAAGAGAAGTTCAAACTTTTACATACAAGAGTTGCTTACACGCATGAGATAGTTTAAATACGAATTCTAAGATGGACAGTTGGAAAATAATGTAAAGACTCAGTGAAACAAAAATAATAGCATTAGTTAAAATAATGATGATAGTTAAACGTGATAAGATACAAGATTTGAAATATGGAATGCTGTGCTCCTTTTTCACATCAGGACAGTTTGATAGGTTACATAGATGGTTAACTTGTTCCTGCTTTGCCTGTTTCAAACACACCTTTCCTGAAGAAGGCAGAGAACTCAAGTAATGCTAGTCGCGATGGGGTTTCTCTGCACGGATACAGAGGACACGAAGGTAATTGTGAGCAGACAGCCAATAATTTTTGCAGGTACACCTGGCATAAATTGATCATTAGACTTTACACAAATATATAAATTATAAAACTTGGCATTACCTCGAGCTGCCGTCTCCTTTGTTTGGCAACTGCTTCAGAATTTTTTGTGAAGAACTTCCTGGGTGGGAAGGGAAGCGCCTCTATCTGGACACCGTAGCGTGCTTTCATGTCCATGTGGAGCTCTCTGAAACGCTTGTAGCGGCGAAGCAGAGTCCACCGAGCACCAGCCACACTGACACGCACCTCATACTCGTAGTGTGTGCCACTTCCTGCTCCTCGCAACAAGTACGAGGGAACGCTGACTCGCAGTTCAGTCTCATCAAGTTCGTCGGGGAATGGTAAATCTAAAATTGTAAGTTTTACTTTTAAACAAACAGTTTCTGATAGTAAGTAAAAAAACTCACTGCACGAAGCTGGGGACAGAAGTGGTGAACAATAAACCAGTGACCTTCCTAAAGGGGTGACTCTGTCAAGGCTCTGCAAATATTTTTTTTCTCAACACTATACCATAAAGATTTATAAGAATACTCACTGTGACGGAAGAAAACATTACAGGCGTGAGAGGCATTCGATTCCTGCAAATAGTTTATTGTAGAATAAAAAAGATATAATTCAATTTTTAATATTTTTTTTTATCAACGTTAATTCTTTAAAAAAATATTTACACATTTCCTTGCTTGATTAGTCCCAAGCTTTAACAATAGAAAGCATGCAAATAATAAAAGTAAATATTCATTATTTTACATTTTTCTAGCGGTTAAATATAATTACATCTGAAATCTCAATAATATTTTACTTACGGCGATGAAAGTTCAAAGGCAGAATGTCTACGGAAAGTTATCGATCTCATTGGCAAGGGAGCTTCGTCCACTTCAGCTTCTAAGGGTTGGCGTGCCGGACTTCCGCTGTTCTCTCTGCGACTAGCTTTGGTCTCCAGACGGATCTGCTCTCTCTGTAATTCCTGCAGATGAGCGATATGGTCATTGAGAGCCTCCTTGTCGCAATTCTCGTCCTCCAAAGCAGCTAAGATTTTTTCTTTCTGAGCGGCCACTTTTCTTGTCAGCGCCTCTCCAGGAGAGGCCAATCCAAGACCAGAATCGCTTAATGCAGAGTCAGGTAGCCATAGCGTCTGTGGTTGGTCTGTGGCCGTATGGAAAGAGTCGTCTGAAGGAGGCCCCAACCGGCCACGGCCGTTGAGAGCCAGTGAAAGCGAAGCTCTTCTTTTGTGCATAGCCTGCAGCTCGGCCTCAGTTCGCTCCTTCAAGGCCTGTCTGGCCATTTCTACTTCTTCCCTCGCGGCCTCAAGTTGAGAGTCCAGCTCCGCCACTCTGTTCTGTCGTTCTTGGAGGGCGATGAGGCGCTCAGCCACACGCTGCTCAAGTTCCTGAAGTTCTTCTCTCTGGAAAAAGCTTACTCTTTCAGTCCAAGTTCAATCTACTTTTTTTCAATAAAAACAAATTGGATTTTTACGTACACTGACATTGATTCATGTTAAAGTTTTAAAAAATATGAATTTCTATTCATGGAAATTCTGATGGATATGAATAATTTGTTTAAGAATTAATATAAAATATAAAATAAACTAGCAAATTTTTAGGGCTGAAATTTTTTTACGGACTGACCTGCAGCCTGATCACCTGATGGATAGCCTCAAGAGTTTCAGTAGACTGCTCCTAATAAAGCAATAACAACAAACACTAGAACATCACAACACACAAAACAGGGGCCAGTCTACAAACCTCATTCAACTGAGCATCAAGATCTTTTAGAAGCTCTTGTCTTCGGAGGGTCTCGTCTTGCAGGAGTTTGAGCTGGTGTTGCTCCTCAACCACCTTTGGATAGAAAACAAGTCGTGCCAACACAATCATGCTAATAGTAGCAATAATGTCTCAAGGGGAAATAAGGTACTTGAGCTGATACTTTTGAAAGCATCACTTGCGAACTCGTGAAAGTAATGACATATTGTGAAAAATCAACACACATGGTAATCTGCTAATCTGGTGCAAAATAATTTAAATATCATGAGATCTACAGATATTTAATCTGGGTTCTAATTTTCATATTTAAAATTGTTATGAGTTTTCTAAGGTTTTTTTTAACATCAAAAAATACCTTTTCCTGCTCCTCTTCTTTCTGGCTCTCAATTCGCTTTCGCTGCTCTTCAAGTTTTTCCTCCCTGATTCTCAGCTGTTCTTCAGCCTCTTTTTGCCTCTCCTCCAGCCGTCTTCTTTCCTCATCCAGCTGCCGCTTTCTCTCTTCGAACTCCCGTGTCAACCGCCTCCGTTCCGCCTCCAATTCCCTCTCCTCCACGTTCAGGTTCAGTTCAGTAGTTGACCCACCAAACAGACTGCTTCTGCTCATAACACGGCCCTCTTTCCGCAACTGTGCAGCCTCGGCAGGGTCATTGTACCTTAACACATGTGCTCTGCCCAGGCCAATCAAGCTGCCTTGACTCAGTCTCGTGGACATGTCGATTGTCAGACCGTCCACACTGCAGAAGCCATTTTTTGGTGTCAAGACAGCGATTCCATCCTTCAGGGTTACTATGCAGTGATGCGATTCAAGACCAGGCAGGACAATGTCCACCCCATCAGCAGCCCCTATCACAGTGTCTCCATTCTACAACATCAGATTATTACTATTATCTTAGCACTTTAATCACTATGACTTAAGTTAAAAGTTGCTCCATTTTGAAAAAAAAATTACAAAATAATTATCATCTTACTCTATTCAAATGATAAAGTGTGACTCCAGTGCTTAGTCTGTCGTCCTGATCGATGGCCACTAGATGCGGCCTATCACTGTCCAGGACGACTCCCCGTCCAGCCTTCCGCAACCCCAGCGCCTGCTGCTCTCGCAGAATTGCTTGGGTTTCCCTCCACTTCTCTGCCCACTCGGCCGTGAGACTTTTCTCTTTTGCCTCCTTTTGCTGCAGTTCAGCCAGCACTTTTGGCTGGCTCTCTTCACCCAAGAGGCCGCGCAGCTTATATATTTCGTCTCGGAGCTCTCGAATCAACCTAACATTGGGATCTTCGTTGACAGTGGGCTGGTTGACAATGTTCTTGGCTCGATTTGCATAACGCAAGGTGCTCAGAGTTTCACTGTAGTTGCAGTCAGCCGGAGATATTGCTGATAAAATTAAAGAGTTTAAAATTTCCAAGATAATTATATTTTAACATTAATTACCTGCAACCATGATTGTCTTTGAATTCCCACCAAGACTGTCTTTCAACAGCCATGTAAGTACTGCATCTCTGTAAGGAACAAAAGACCCAAGTCGTTTGTCTGCTAGGGCCGAAATGACAGATCCAAGGGTGACAAGTGACTTGTTGATGTGAGCCCCTTCCTTCAGTCTCTGACCAGTAGCGCCGGTTGCGTCTGCTCTTTCACTACCAGCCAAGTCCACCAGATGGACTTTTGAGGTGGTTTCACTTGGCAGACCTTCAGCACCAATGCCAGCCTTTTAACATTTAACAAATTGGATAAATTCAACAATAAGAAAAAAAATTTTATTAAAACATTTAGTGAGGATTGATTGAAATTAAATCATAAGTTTTCCCTTCAAATATGAAAAAAAAAATTTATGTCCAAACCTGTCTGAAAGTTAATGTGAATATGGCGTGACTTCTGGAACTTGTGTCGTTCATGTTGGTGGCAGCTGTACATCTTGCCCTGTTGCCCCGTTCCATTAGCTGAGCAACATGGTCGTAGCAAGTCACCAGGTGGTGCGACAATCCTGATACATATGGACCTTGACGAGGGTGCTCTCTGACCCTTAGGCCACCTGTCGGGTTGGTCGAAGACAAAAGGTCGCGCACCTTTTCATTGTAAATCTCCAGATAGCTCACATCAACTCGGTAATTCTTATCCTCTTGCTTGTATAATAAAAAAGTAATTAATGCAATAGTAGAAAGAGAAAAACAGTGGAATGCATCCAACCTCATCTTGCATTTTCCCAAACATGGCTTCGCAGATCCTGGGAATGAGACCTGGGCTATCAGGTGGACCAGTCATGGTGAAGGTTTTTCCACTTCCAGTCTGCCCGTAGGCAAACAGGCAAGCATTGTATCCTTCAAAGGCACTAGCAACAACCTCAGTTCCCAATTCTTCAAAAACCTTGATTTAGAAATAATTATTATTAATTTTTTTTATCTTAAAATCCAATTAATAATTTAATTTTTTTGCTGATTTTATCCAGCTTAAAATACTAAGTAAGTTAATTTTTTTTTTAAATAAACGCAAAATCAAATAATACGCAGAATAAAAAAAAAAATCACATAAATATGAAGTTTACCTGTTCTTGTGTAGCAAAATCCGAGTCGGAGGGATCAAAGGACCAGTACGAGTGATCGAATGTGAAGTCCTTGAAAGAAGGGTTGTCTCCCACCTTAAAAATTCCAGACGTCTCAAATTATTGTTTACACCAATGTACATCATTATAATAAAGAATTTGCAGGGCATATTGTGACGCATTTGTACAACAAAGCCAGCCTGTGGTTGTGACTGCAAACAAAGACATAATGAAAGCAAAACTAATATAGTAAGCATCCTTAATTTATCCGCTGGCTAGTCTGCTCTACGTTTAATCTTTGAATAGAAAACCAAGCAAGGCGTTTTTACAACAGCTTATATTTTAAATTCACGGTTCAAGTAAAAGGTGCGCGATTTTATTTTACAAAATTCCCAATTTCCAACTTGTAAAACAACTTACTGATTCGTTCACGGGCGATAAGGTATTTGCTGTTAGAGAAGGTCTCTGAAAATATATAAATCCATACATTTTCTCAGAGTCAAATGAGAATTCCGCCGCCCTTGAGTTTCAATTTTTTTTAAGCCATGTGAAATAATTTTTTTTCAACCTGTCCCAAGAGGGAAGTAAGAAAAAATGTCATTGTAAATGTGAATGTACTTTGATACCCACATGGACAATTTTATTGCTGCGAGTGGATCGCAGTGACACTCAATGCCAAGTTTACGCTTCATAGCATGACAGACTTAATTTTCTTGGCTTCTTTTTGGGCCTCTTTGAAATGTTGCGATAGAAATAAGAAAGGGCAGAGCAATGAGCTTATCCACAAAAAACTGCGGCAGAACGCAAGAAAATATTTTTAATATACTGCTATGTTAGAGTAAAATCCTCTTTAGAACTCTCAAGTTGTCCACATTTTTCACACCGCTATAGACCGCAAAGGGAGTCAAATTCTCAATATTTTTTTTGTAAATACAAAAATGTATTTTTAGTGAATAAGGTTGACAGGTAAAATAAAATAAAGGCTTTTTGGTATAATTATATCAAATCAAATTTCAAAATCATCACTATTTATAAATTCATACAAACAGAATTCAACCAAATGTAATTTTTAGAATTATAAATAGCAAGCCAGTAATTCTAAAGAGAAATGTGAAACGTTGAAAACATATAAACAGGAAAAATTAAAAAATTGAAAATTGAATACATTTTTTTTCTCTCTCTCTTATGATACATGTAAATAAAGTAATTATTTAAAATTTATAGGGACAGTTATCAAAATTTGAAATTATTATGAAAATTTAAGTAACTATTGAACCCACTATTTGTGTGGTCAATTAACCACGGTTTAATGTTCTTAATTTTCAATTTAATTAATTGAAAATTCTCAAATTTAGAGAACTTTCTCATAAATTTTCAATAAATACCTTGTATACATGTTTCATATGAGATAGATCAATAGTTTCAATTCTTGCCTCTTTAAATTTTTACTATTTTTATAAATATTGTTTTCAACGTTTCACAATTCTTTCTTGAAGTGACTTGCTATTCACAATATTAAATTATATTTGATTGAATTCGGTAAATATGAATGAAAAAATAATGATGATTTTGACATTTGATTAGTACCAGCAATTCCCATAGGCTGACTTAGCATGGGAATATCCCTAATTAATTTTCAGTTCATTGGCTTCAAAACGGGGTTATCAAGGTTTATTTCCTGACTAGTAATTTGGCAAAAGAGAAGCCGTAATTGTGCTGTTTTGCCACACATAAATAGAAAGAGAAAGAAAGAGGCGCGGTGTCTTCAGAACTCTTGTCAAACGTCGAAGAGCCGCAAAACGCAAAACACGAGCTGATTTAATCTGAATATTCGATCCAGTGATAAACCGCACGTTCAGAGTAAAACTTAGGGGATCGAAACTTGATCGGGAGGAATCAGCAAAACTGAAGAGTATTGTACCTTTGAGAGGTTGACAATCCGGGTCTTCTTGCCGTCCATCCTGATGACCGCCTTGGCCCCCATGTCCAACTCCCTGCAATATGTCAGACGGGTCAGGTTTCATTCGAGGGATCGAATAACAAAACTTAAATTGGTGAAACCAGTCAGGCGAGTCTGGCTCAGGGCTTAGCTTGTGATTGCATGCATAATGTCCTCTTAACAAACACGCATTTTAATCTTTAAAGCCAGAGATGAAAAAAAAAATATAACTTTAACCCCAACTTAAAAGTTATAAAAAAGATCCAGTTTTAAATGATTTGAATTAAAAAAGCAACTATTTATTCTATAGTGACATATTGAGTTTATCAAAAATGCAAAAGGTTTTCCAGTCTATATTATTAAAAATAATAAAAGATCGGCAAGTAATATTAATTAAATTTAAGGTCAAATTTCCATTCCGGACACTCATTCTATTTCTTTACTGAGCCCTTATCTATTCTCATAATTTTGTATAAATAAAATAGATTAAAATAATTATAGTCGGTCCAAAAATTTGTATCCGCCATACAATACAACCGCAAAATTATTTTTAAATTATAGTGCCTGTAAAAATGTGCGTTGGTCTAGCAAAAGTTATTATTGTCATATTCTGTATTATTATTTTGCATGATTTTAAAATAGAGTCAAGGTGGCTCGCGCTCAATAATGCACAGCGACGTTTCAAGTGCACCTGTCATCAGCCCAGTTTGTTTCGCTTCGTTTTGCCCCGACACACCCCTCGGACACTCACCTTTGGTTGAACGGGCGCACCCGGACAGCAACTTTCACGGACGCCATGGTTGCGCTTCAAATTCGCATTCTATGCCCGCAAATCGGCCCGAAAACAGACACACTCATCGTCGGTCGGCCGATCGTTTCGCCCTGTTCTGATATGAAGTCTGTAGGAAAGGAAAACTTTGTTACTCAGGTGACTGCCGCGTCTGCGCACTGAGCTACTGAAAAGGGCTGCACCTAATTGTCGCCAACGCAAAAAGTCTCGTGAGTAAAAAGAAAAAAAAATAAAACCTGTTTTGTTATATAATAGAGAAAAAAATTTAAAAATCAATCACAATTAATTAAAATTAAATAGATAATAATTTGTATCATTTAAAAAATGTTTTGTTCACAATACATAATTAAATATACATAAGTTTCTTTCAACATTCAGTTTAAACTTTTGTTGGCAGCATTTAACACCACGAGTAGCCCAAGAAGATTTACCGAGATTTACTTTCATTTACAGCATTTATATTAGTTTATTTATTTAGTATTCTGCAACTGCACGATTTATTCTGTCTAAATTCCAATGCCAATACATAAATTATAATAAAAACATTTCTTTTTTCATTTTTGTGAATTTGTGCGCCGTAATATGTGAAGTGAATAGGCAACCAGCGTTTCATATTAGTTATACCGGTTGTATAACATCGAGAATCAGTTCCGAGATATATGTGCACCGAATCTGGGTGTAAATAACAATTTTGGACTTGGGGCCACAACAACAACAAACACACGTGACGCTCGGAGTTTTGGTTGTGTTGTGACTGAATTAGAGACTTAAACAGTTGTAGCATGTTGTTCGTCGTGGGACTGGGCCTTGGGGACGCTAAGGACATCACTGTCAAGGGTCTGGAGGCAGTGAGACAGGCCGATAGGGTTATTTTGGAAGCTTACACTTCCATTCTCACAATCGGCAAAGAAGCCTTGGTGTGTGTTTATGTTTATAGAGATATTTAAATTTTAAAATTGATTTAATCGTGACCATAACATATTATTGTTATTGCTTACAAACTTTACGCTCATTTAAGTTTTTATTTCTTAAAGGAAGAATATTATGGAAAGCCTGTGGAAGTGGCTGATCGTGAGGCAGTGGAGCAGGGAGCGGCTGAAATGTTGGAGGCAGCAAAGTCTTCAGACGTCGCCTTTTTGGTCGTCGGCGACCCTTTTGGTGCCACCACTCACGCTGACCTGGTACTTCGGGCACGGGACGTAGGTGTGCAGGTCAAGGTCATCCACAACGCCAGCATCATGAACGCAGTGGCTTGCTGCGGACTCCAGTTGTATCACTTTGGGGAGACGGTGTCCATCCCTTTTTGGACGGACTCTTGGCAGCCAGACAGTTTTTATGAGAAAATTTGTGCCAACAAAACTAGGGGACTGCACACACTGTGCTTATTAGGTAAATCCGTAAAAATTTGAATATAATTTACACATTTTTTCTTAAAGTTAATAATTAAATTAGAAAAAAAAACATTAAGCAAGAAATTATTTAATTTTTGTCAAGGTAATAATTCTAGATTTATTTAGACATTCAAGTCAAAGAGCCTACACCAGAGAGCATAATGAAGAAAGTGAAACAATACTTGCCCCCAAGATTTATGTCCGTAGCACAAGCAAGCGAACAACTCTTAAAAATTATTGTAAATGACAGTGAAAAAGGTGATTGCACAATAATCATTAATATTGATATGGTTCTATAAAATTTTGATTTCTTTTTAGTTTTAAGCAATGACAGTGTGGTCATTGGATTGGCCAGAGTAGGAGCTGAAAACCAGCAAATTGCAGCCTGCAGTCTTGAAGCAATGAAGGACACTGACTTGGGTTCTCCATTGCATTGTTTGGTTATTCCCGGAAAACTACATCCTTTAGAAGAGGAATATTTGGAGCAATTTTTCGTTAAATAATGATTTACATGTCTCAATAAACTTTTTGTGAGATAATGCTGCATCAAAGTTGATACTCAACGTGATAACTATCTCCAAAGATGAAAGCTTGTATCAATCAAAACCAGTATGATTTAAATTTCATCAATCATTTTACTAACATAATTTTTGGATAATTTTGATTAAAAAGGAATCAAATGATTGGCACTTAATTAAAAGATTGAAAACAAAAATTTGGAAGTTCGCAATTCAATTTATTGATCAATCATAAAACTATCAGAAATCCAAAGTACACCAGAAAGGCTTAATATACATTAAAATAAAGGTGATCATTCACTTCCAGATCCACTCCTGTAAGAATAAAAATTAATAATTAAGTGGAATTAAGAGACCGAAGCATTGAAGAAAATTTAAATTTGATTGAAAAGTTATGAAAAGAGGATAAAAACCAATAAAATTACTTGTTAGGAGAGGGACTGCGAGAACCTCCACTGCGTGAACCACTTCTGGAACGGGAACCGCTCTTGTTGGATTTCGGGGAACCACTCCTTGATCTGGATCCACTCCTGCTTCCAAAAAGTGAAAAAAATCATATTATTGATCAAGAGAAATAAGCAAAAAATACTAAGTACCTGTTGCTTGCTGGGGAGCCACTTCTAGACCTAGAGCCACTTCTTTTAGATTTTGGAGAACCACTTGCGTTTGATTTCGGCGAACCACTTCTAGACCTTGAACCACTCTTGCGGGATTTTGGTGAACCACTGCCAGATCTAGAGCCGCTTCTAAATTTTTTTAATTTTAAGAGTTTTAGAATTAATTTTGTTAAAATTAAAAAGAGTATAAAAATCATACCTGGAGCGTGATCTGGAACCACTTCCCGACCTCCTAGATCCACTAGCTGAACGGGACCTGCTGCGAGATCCAGATTTACTTCTGGATCGGCTCCTCGACTTACTCCTTGATTTACTTCTCGACTTGCTTCGAGATTTGCTTCTTGAACCACTCTTTGAGCGGTTGGAGCTGCTACTTGAAATTTTACGTTTACGTCCTCTTCCACCGCTGGCATCACTGCCCTCTCTAGTAAAAGATAATTAAACACAAATGGTTATAATTATATATTTTAACTCACTCGTCGCTAGCAATTTTTAAGTTCTGATTGTCGCTGTCACTCTCAGATGTTGATATAACTGCCTTCGACACTATCCTCAACCTCTGCTTTGCCGAGAGTCCTTCGTCTTTCTCGGGCTTCTTTTTCGGCTTCTTCTTTTTACCTCTTTGCCTTGGGCTACCTCCCTCTTGCTCAGAATCAGAGCCGCTTGGAGTACCGCCAGCTTTGCGCTTCCTACTGCAAGTAATTTTATAAATATTAGTTAGTAAAAACTGGTGCGAGAATGCAATATAAAAGCATAATTTATTTTTCTTTCATTAAACTTATAGCTTTGAAAATGAAGGGTTCTACATAATTTTTCAAAAGCACGTGTTAATTATGATTTAAATGGCAAATAAAATAATTACCTGCGTCCTTTGCCTCCTCCTCCCTTGCTCTTCCTAGAGCGAGGCTCTTCATTCTCCTCATCGCCGCTGGCATCCTCCCTCTCTTTGCGGCGGCCTCCCTTCTTTGAGCTCTTCTCACTGGGCATTTCGGCAAAGAGCAAAGCGTTCTTTGTCTTCTCGACATACTCTTTCCGCTTGACAAGCATCTGCTCTTCTCGCTGGCGCCGCTCCTCAGCCGCCTTGGCCATCAACTCGCGCTGCTTCTGTCGGAAGTTCTCACGCTCCTCTTCTTGTTTTCGTCGCAGTGCTCGCTCCTCCTCGTCCACTCGACGCGCCCGAGCCACGTGGTACTGCGCCTGGGACATTAAGTCCTGGCACTTCCGTTCTTCCTTACCGGCATGAGCCAAATCAAAACGCATGCGGTCTCCATGAACAGAAAGATGCTTGAAGAATCTGCAAAGTTAAATTAAAATAATAGATGTTTTCATCAACATAGTAATTTTAGTTAATTCTCATGATGAAATCAGAATAATAGCCAATCCATTATCACAATAAAAATAGTGTTAACAAAGAAAATATAATCATAAATTTACCAGTAAATCAAGTGATAAACAGGCAGAGACTTACTTTTGCGACAAAGCCAGCTCGTTGACCGCCTCAAGAACAGTACCAAGAGTGGACTTCTCCATTTTTAATGTGGCAATGGCACGTTGCTGCAAAACTAGGGCAGAGTTGAAAAGAAGGACGGAGTCCTGCGGCGCAACTCGAAGAGCCTTCAGTAGAGTTATTTTAGTTTCTTTCAGCTTTCCAGCTTTAAAATAGGCTCTTGCTAGGTAAAGGAGCACATCCGTGTTGTGATTTTTGTAAAATTTGCGCAGACAATTTTCATACTAAAAAGAATTATTTCGGTCAGTCATTCATATAATATATTGAATTGAAGGGTCTACCATTTGGATTGCACTGACATACTGCTTTTGCTCAACGTACACATGAGCAATATTAAGCCAGACATCGCAGAAATCAGCAGTTGCTTCTCGAACCTTATTGTGTTTTTTAATTTCACTATTAAATATTTCAATAAATTCTGACCTGGGCAAAAATATCTCTGGCTTCGATAATGCAATTTTTGTGAGCGAGGACAGCTCCGACGCCATTTGCCGCCCAAATATTTTTGGGGTCGTTCCTCAGCACCTGCTTGAACATAGCCAGCGCCCTGTCCTGATGCCTCTTTTCTCTGTCCTTGTCCCTGGTTGGCTGGTGTAGAGTTTGCAGCCAAACATTTCCCAAGGCTATCAGGGAATATGCGTCATCTTTTGTGGCAGGATTTTTTAATATCCGCTCAAACTTTTTCTGGCCAGGGCCCCACTCCATCTTAGCCAAATGGAGGTTGCCAAGAAGAGACCATGCATCGGGATGCTCATTGTTAATTCGCATTGCTTCCTTTAATTTTAAATTTCCCATCAATTAAATTTCACATGAATTTATCATTCAGAAAGTACCTTAAACCAATCGGAGGCTTCGTAAATCTGCCCTTTGTCTCTGGCCATGCAACCTAGCCGAAGATAACAGTCAACGTAGTTAGGATGCTCTTTTAAAACATCCTTGTACAGCCTCTCAGCCTTGTCAAACTGACACTGTGCTTCGGAAAGCCTTGCCAAGTTGTAAGTCGTAGTAACTGCAATAGCATTGTAATATTGTGGGTCATGTTCTGCCTCGCTTCTTGCTCTTGCCAGCGAGTCTTCAAAGAATCTGGAAAAAGCAAAATGTTAACAAAAAAGATAATTAATTAAAAAATGTACTTTTTAGCTTCGTCCAAATTTCCAAGTCGATAGTGCAGGGAACCAACATTGTTGAGGATTTCTGGTGGCACCTCAGCATTAACTTTGTCCTGCAGAATTTTAGTTGCTGTGCCGTAAGCTGCAAGGGCTGCATTCAGGTCGGTCTGTTCCAAGATCTGCGCCATTTCAATCCACGCTTCAACATCATCAGGAAACTGTTGAGTGACTTTTGCTAAGTGTTGCCTCGCAACTTCTCTCTTGGCCTGGCTGCTAGAGTTTGCATAAAGAGAGCCAAGAATTTTCATTGTTTCGTAATTGCCAGGCTGAATCTTCAGGACTTTCTCAAAGCAGTTGGCTGCCTACGGACAAAAAAGGTCAAATGAACTGGGTCATTACCAACAAAATTCTATCAAGTTACATTCTCAGGATCTCCTCTGTAGATGTACATCTGGCCAAGTCCAAAATGAGGAAGAACAAAAGAGGGAGGAGCAAATTGTGTTGACTGGTAGTAGTACTGAAAGGCCTGATCGTAATCTCCCTGGGCGTGGAAAGACCTGGCCAGTTGGAAACAACTTTCGGCTCTCATAGCTTCATTTTCAGTATTGTGAAAAGCGTGGAGAGCAAGGTGCTGGACTTTGTTGAAGTCTCGTTTAAAGAAGAAGTGGTTGGCCAAGTGGTTGAGGACCATAGGGTTGCCAGGATCAGCAGTGTAAGCCCTGCAAAAATAAATATTTTAACAATAATAAATCATGAAAAAAAATCACAAAATTGTTCTCATTGTCCAAATTTTATTAAAGTTTATCTTAAATTTCAACGCTAAATCAATATTTTAATATGCATTAATTATTTACCTTGAAAGCATTTGAACTCCGTCTCTGATTGACTCGGATGTTTGCTCGTTGAGCCTCAGCACAGCAAGAGCTACAAGAGCCCCAACACAACCAGGCTCAAGCTGCAGTGCACGTTCGAAGGCTAGTCTAGCCTTGTCTAAGTTGCCCTGACGTGCAAAGCAGTGGCCCATGCCAAGACGAACAGCTGCTGGACACCTTGGGTTGTTACGGAGAGCCTTTTTGTAGAAAGCTAGGGCACCACGGTAGTCTTTTCTGTTGAAGGCAATACACGCCTTGCCCAAAAGTGAGGGAATGTTGTTAGCGTCTTGACCCAGCACAAAGTTAAACTGAGCATCAGCCTGATCCATCTTGCCATCTTCAAGCAGGCAAAAGTATGCTCGCCCAAGTAAATGTTGCTAAAAACAAAATATTAATACGTCAAAATATTACAATAAAATAAACATAATTCAAAAGTATAAAAAAGTAAAGATAAAACAGAGATTTGCATAGTTTCTCTGTGAATTTGCTTATCCATTACCTGATCATACATGATGATTTTATCAGCGGCCGTGTAGAGGAGGGTGGCTTTGGTAAAAAGCTCCCTCTTCTTGTCCTTATTTTTCTCCTTGTTAGCCAACTGGACATAGAAGGCGGCCAGCATATCCAGTGCCCGCATCTGGTCCTTGTCATTGTCCCTGTAGTCAGTATTGGCCTCTGTCCTGGCTGCCTCCAGAATCTGCACGAACTCATCAAGCTTGCTCTGACGGTAGTACTCCTCAGCCAGACGAACCCACAGGTGCAGGGAGGCATGTTCTTGTCTCAAGATGCTGAGAACCTCCTCACCATCCGGCAACTGGTCAAAGCTCAACTCGATCACCTGAAATAATACAAACATTGGTTGATTAGGGCCACCTGGATGCAAATTGCGGTCAGCGAACCTCATCAGTGTCGCGCAGAGGAATCTCGATCGAGCCCACCGTCGCCATGGCACCGTCGGGTCTGATACTTTGCCAAAAACTAGATGAAATTGGGTGTTTTGCCGGCCGACGCAAAAACAAAAACACTCAACTCAACTCAAGGCACCGCCACCGCCATGTTGAAATGACGGTCACGTGGTACAAAACAACTGCAAAGTCTGCAAATTGTCTGCAAAGCTAAGGGTACGCCCTCTTAAAAGCAGCCAACAAAACAGTGCCAAACAGATTTTCGCCAAATTAAATTTTTTTAAATTCAGTATATTTATAAGAACCTAACTAAACAAATTTTTTTTATAATTAAAAAATGTAAATGAATCTAATTTTATTATCTACCTGTCTGAATTCAAAGTTTGATTGCGTTGGTTCATAATTGTAAGCGTTGGTACTGCTGAAAGTTTTGTTTATTGATGCACGCCCACTTTTCAGTGGTCAGTCACAAGACTGCTGAAATGGTGAAAGTTTTAGTAGAACTTTAACAATTTTAACTGGTGAAATAATTTTTCGTACCCGGTAATGGACTGCGAAATGGACCACAGCAAAACAAGGTACCCTTTCTGCGTGGTTTGGACTCCAATCCCTTTGTTGACGTGAGTTAGCAGTAAGTTTTTGTAAACGTCAAAAATGCTGAATTTTTTTTTTATTTTGCAGATGGTTGTGCCCTATTATTGGCCACATGGGAATTTGCATGTCGTCTGGTATTATAAGGGACTTTGCAGGTCCGTACTACGTGTCTGAGGATAATATGGGCTTTGGGCGACCCACTAAATATTGGAAATTGGATGTCAGCCGCGTGAAAGGTGGCCCTGCCTCTTGGGACAGGGCTGTCGTGGAGGCGTCGGAGGAATACAAAGGAAGAATGGTAAATAAATTATATAGTTAAAATAATATTCAATTTTTGTAAGAAGTATATTTTATATTGTCATATTTTGTATTTTTGATCTTCACTTTTTTTAAATTTCGTCTGCTAAAATAAATGTGAACTAAAAGCAAATCAATATTTTATCTTACATAAATATCTGACATTATTTATCTTTTTTGCTAAAAATTTAAATTACTAGAATTGCTTACAAAACTATTCTATTCAAAACTTGCTTATTTTATTTTTTTCATTTTAGCATAACCTGTGTTGCGACAACTGTCATTCCCATGTGGCAATGGCGCTGAACACGATGGAGTATGATGAAAGCTCCTCTTGGAATATGGTCAAGCTCTGTTTCCTTTCCCTTGTCCACAGCAAATACGTAAGGTAAGAACTGATTTTTTTTCCTTTTTTTTGTACGAAAAATATATATGGAAATTTTAATAATTCTAGTTTTGGAGCTTGGCTAAAGACTTGGCTTCCGTTTCTGGTGCTCACGACAGTGACAGTCTTAACTGTTTACTTTACCATGTAATAATGTATTTAAACTTGAGTGCGGTTTATCTAGTCAAAATATAAAAAATATCGCACTAAAATTCCGGCGTGCTAAATTAACAGGAAATTTTTAAGAAATTAAACAAATTTTATTTTTTCACTTTTCTTATTATTTTTTCATCATTGTCTGAACATTAGAAATAGTTTCAACATTTGGGTTTGTTCAACTGCCGTTAGTGAGTGTGTTTTCGTGTTGTGTATATACATAATTATGTCTTTGCAAAATAAAAACACAATTGATATTTTTCGTATGCAATAAAAATTCTTCTCTTTTTGTCGCAATGTATACTTACACCTAAAACATTAAATGCAATAACTATTTTTCTTTCTTCATTTCATTAAGTCTAAAAACTGCAATCGCTTGTGTTCAACTCAGGTCTTGTGTGGGAATTGTCGTCTCGGTTCAACGGATAATTGAACAAATAACAAAAACCAGATTAATGAAATTATCAGTAATTTTTTCACCGCTCTTGCATTCGTTCGTCACATAGAATAAGTCGGAGAAGATAAGAGGAATACGTATTTTTCTTTCTTTTGTTTAAACGCTATCAAAACAACAAGAACAAGTTGTATTTTCTGGAAGTGTACAGTGATAACAACAGGCGAGCCTCTTGAGAGAAAACCCAGTCACATACTCGATGATTTTTCCGTTTACTTTTTTCGAAGATGGTACGAAAAACAACACAAAATTGTGTGTGTGATAATGTGATTTCACTTTTAGTAAATATATATTATGTAATATACGAGAAAAGTGTCATCGTTCAAACACAATATCGAATAATAAGACAAATTTTCAGACACAGTAGTTGAAGAACATAATTATTTCCATACAGCCCATGCTTTCTTCTCATGTTTGTCTCTCTTTCTCCGTTGATAATTATAAATGACAGTTAACAAATTCCTTTTTTATATTTATTTTTGGCTCATTTTTCCGCTCCATCCGCTCAAAAACATCATCTTCTTTTTTCATAATAATTTTTGCACTTGTTTAAACTTATCTATTTACAGCGCTTGTTATCAAGAGTAAAAATAAACAATTGTGTTTATGACAGCAGTTTTTCTCATTAATCATAATTTCAATATTCTTCACCTATTTATTTTTGCTTGATTTGTGTCTGCACCAATATTACATGCAGAGATCCTCCTTGTGTAAATATATATAATATATTTCATGATTTTTTTCTCTCGTCTCGCGCTGTGTATATTTCCATCGTATTTTTTTTCTTTAATAACAAGTCGACAGTCTCTCTGAAACGATCAACGCACGCACACTCTTTCTCTCATACCACCAGTGGTACAAATAACAGCTAGTTTTAAAAATGCCAACATGAATCGTCTAATGAGTCTAATTGAGGGTGCCCCCGGTGAGCACCACTTTCACGCAGATTGATCGTAATTAAATTTAAAAATTCGCGATCATTTTAAAATATTGACCCGTCAAATTTTCTGAAAAGTAATTGCAAACTAAGCGAATATCGAATTAAAACTCCATTGTTGTGGCACTAACCGGCAGCTCGATCAGAAGAATCAAGTAATCAAAACTACACGCGCACGCACTCGGCATTTTCGGCTAAAACCAGTTGACAATAAGTTAGTATTATTGAGCTCTTTATTCATTTTGGTGTTGCGAGGCTGCTCTGCATTTAATCTTGGTGCACAGGAAGTGGCAGGCCAAAGAATAACACGAAACGCGCGTCTGGCGTGGTACTTTTTAACTTCTCACTCGGCCCGGAGCGAGTATAAAAGTCGTCGGCCGGCTGCAGGATAAAAAAGAGCGTGTTTTTTTTTATTACATGTTTAAATTCGGAGGGGCTGAAGTTATCCTTCGACCTGCAACCTCCTTTAAATTAGAATATGACGCTCTTTGCTTGTTTTTTTGTGTGAGTCGAGTGTGTAATTTTTCAATACACCTTGCTTCACTCTTTTTATTTGTATAGACCCGCGCATTCGTCGTCGAATCTCATCGCAGCGCTTTTTTGTTCTTCTTTTCCAAAGTATGTATTAATAATAATTATTATTACATTTCTTTCGCGCGACCCTCGGGCAGTGAACACAGTATATTTTCTTCATTTTATTGGAAACAGTAGCAGCAGCAGTGCTCTTATTCAGTGAGACAGACATATTTCCAGGCTAAAAACAAAACGGTTCTCGCACTTTTCCATCGCAAAAACGCTTCTTTCAATCTTGCTCTTCTTCGCACGTACACTGTTTTTACTTTTTGTCAGCAGCTCTTTCCAAACCCAACGATTCGAGAGATTCTCAGCTCGCATATCCGCACGATTTTCTTAGATACTTTTGCTCGATTTTCTTTTTTAGAAATGTTGAATGAGAGGAGATATTTCAACAACGTAGTTGAGAAGCATGCAGCGCTCAGTCTTTGGTGAATCAACCCACTAAAAATATTTTACAACGAGTCCGCTTCATACGCCGGTAGGTTAGGTACTCGACGTGTGAGATTATTCTTATATTTAGTAATGTCCTTGCGTGTTGTGTCTTGGAAAAAACAGAGGTGCTCCGCTCTCTCAAGTTCACTACAAACGGATTGTTCGCGTGTCTAAAATTTATACTTTTAAAGCTCGCGCACTCACGTGGTTTTTGTGATTCGTTTCCTTGTATGGGTTATAGATTTTTTTCTAAATGTGTTGTTTGTTATCAAAAGTCCGGTTTTTTATATAAAAGAAGCTTGCTTGCGTGATTTTTTTTAATTATTTTACTTCGGCTCAGGAAGAGGTGCTCCTGCCTCCAGTAAAAATTTATAGGAGAGATAAAAAAAGTTGCTAAATTAAGATCAAGTTGTAACTGGTTATTATTTTAAAGGCACCTTTCTGCAAACCAAAATTCTCAATTTCTTGCACAATGTTTTCAAAAGATCAAAATTAAGTATTAAATTAGTAATTTCCAATGCAGGATAATCAGTCAAATTAGATAAGCCTCCCACTTTCCTGAGATAAAAATCAAATGATTAGACCATAGTAATTTCAATGAAAGACGGGAAATAAATTAGTTTAAACCCACCTAGTTCAAAATTTCTACGCAGTCATTAAAAATTTTGCTTTTCAAAAAGTTCAATTAGCCAACACACTAGTAAATATCATGGTAAAAAATTGAAATCAAAGAAAATCTTTACCCTGCGATAAAATCAGGGAAGAGATTTTTACCTCAATTAGACTTTACGAGATTCAGAGTGAGAGGGGAGGGTGGGAGGTGAGCCGAAAGGAAGCAGGAGCAGCTTTCCTTGCTCAGTGCTTGTATTCGGGATAGCGCGTGGGCTGGAGCAGCAGGGCGGCGGCGGGGTCGTCGGACGCGGAGACGGCGTCCCTAGAGGACTCGCGGGACTCGTCGCTGGCCGAGAGGCGCGAGTAGGAGGCGGCGAGGGTGGCGGAGGCGGTCGACACCGCGTCCAACTGGTCGACGGACGAGTTGGGGAAGATCTTGGCGGTGCTCGCGTCTTCGTCCTCTTCGTCCGAGTTGCGGCACGTCGGACACTCAGACTTGTCGTGGTCAAGCAGGTGGCGGGACTTGCGCTTGGCGCCCGTCACGGGCAGGGCCTCTTCGCTGGCCGACCGCACTAACTGTTGGGCGGCGGCGAACTCGTCGTCTCCACTGGCAGCGGCACACACACGAATTTTTTGTGTTAAACAGACGGTTTCATTGATTGCATTTTTTGTTTTGTTTTGGCAGTAGTGTTATTTTTTACTGATACTTTTTTTCAAAACGTTTGCTCACTCGTACGAGTAATTGTTAACTATTCATTTTGGTTTCTCTGAATTTGTCCGCTCGGCATGCAGAGGCGTACTTTTTTTCATAATTTTTTTGCGAAACAGAGTGTGATTGCATGCTCCAGTCTCAAGTTGACTCTAACAAGCTACAGTTTTTCTTGAGCACTTAGTTTTTTGGCAAAATGTCGTAATATAGTATTTCTTTGTTTTGTTTTTAGAGAGAATTTTAGTACTGGTTTCTGCCGCGTAACCATTCACTGTTAGAAAAAAGAGAAAACGAGAAATGGCATCAAAATTGTGTCAATCAGTCATTGTCAAATATAATTTCAGTTTGAAAATTATACAAAAATTAATATATATGAGAGATTTGGAATATAAACGTATGTACAAATTTCTGGACCAAAATTGTTTATATAGTTAACAATTTTGCGCCTTGCCTGCAGCGATCGGGCACATAGGGAACCAAAAGAGTGGCTCATCACTTCGCTGCAGACAAGGTGGGAAAACTTTTGCTGCGTGCATCAAAAAAGATTGGCAAATTATGGAATCGGTCAGAGCAGAAACGAGTTTTCGAATTATTCAAAATATGACCACAGATTTTATACGCCCCATAAAAGTGGCAAAATTTTATAAAAAGTGCAGTATATAAAAAAATCTAAACCTTTAAAATTTCAAACTATAGTTATCCCTTCAGTCAATGGTCTATTTCACAAGAAATTGTGCTCTAGTTAAGAAAAACAATATCAAAATCATACAGATAATTGACTCCAGAAGTTTGCCAAGAGCTAAAAATTATGTGCTCGTTTAAAAAGAGTGCCAATCAAAAGTCTAAAAAATACGAAGAATATATAAGAAAATAATATTGAAAAACCTCAATGCAGCAGAAGTTTTGCTTTTTCAGCAAGACAGAAATAAATGAGCAGTTATGAATAGGGGTGAATTAATTGCTTCTAAAAGGAGGACGGACTAAAACGAAAAGAGGAACGTGAAAGTGATTCGCACCTGCTGCCACTGTGCGGCGCCTCCTCTATCTCCCCCCGGTCCGGGTCGGCGCTCTCGTAAATTTCTTCTTCCCTGTATGAGCCGGTTCTAGAGCCACTCTGCGACTGTGGAGTCCTTCGAGACCCCTGCGGCAGGCGGTAGCGTCCGAAAACGAAGCGCGGGTCTTGGCCTCTGCAAAAAAGAATAAGCAGCTCGTTAGGCTGCGTCGAGCACCAGGTCCACGCTCGACTCCGGCCTCTTCCGTCCGCGCGTCACTATTCTTTGCCTGAATTGTCTGCAATATTTATTTTCTGAAAGCTATTTGACAATGTTATTTGTTTGAAAACGTCATCCTATGTGTACAGCTTTAACCACCTAATTTGGCATTGAATCAATGCAAGTATAATTTTGAGCTTACAGACTTCTTTGTATCAATATCAAAGTATTTCCAAATTCACAAATTAGCCATTTTATAAACACTTGAGGCACAGTATAGTTGAAACTTTCTTTGGCTAAAATTTTCATTCACAAGGTTCAATCAGACTCTCTGATGTACATTTTTTTTTCTAAGTATGACAATGTTTGTAAAAAATTAACTTTTAAAATAATCAAGACTTTCGAATAAAAGGAATGATGATTTTTTTTCCTGCTTAATACACTTATAAAATATTTTTTAATAATTTAAAACAAAATCGGAGATCAAATCATGTGTAGATTTGAACGCCTGAATTTTCAAAGGTATGCAACCGTCTCGCCACTTAATCCGAGCTGGTTGCATATCAATGCCACTGACAAAACTCTCTCCTCGCAGCACAGACAATCCCAGGCAAAGTCGCGCATTTCGCGGCGGAAGCGGTTTGGAATCAACCTTTTGATTATTTTCAACGCAACCATGGCGTGTGGGACGGTGGGAAAGAAGAATCAATGCGCGTGGATTGGGACGTTCAATTTTTAGCGACGGGTGGAGAGCGACAGGAGCTGATGGGCGGGTGACATGAATTTTTTTTGTACACGTCGGGAGTGTGTTTCGACATCACGTCAGTGTAAGTGTGTAGCTAATTTACAGTAAAAGAGGTCAAGTCGGAGGGGCACAGCAGGCATTTAGAAGAGTGCACAGAGCGAAAGCATGCGCGAGTGCAGAGTTACCTCCTCTACAGAAGGCACCGGGCCATGGACTGGGGGGCTGGTCAAACATTCACATGAAGAATTTGCGAGTCCTGCAACATAGATAGGGTCAGGCTCGCTTCTTTGCTACGATCTCGTCGGTGGCACACGCACTCACACACACACACACAGCGGGCAGGGTGGTAAATATTTTCGTGTGCGTGTGTGTGAGGGGAATGGGGCTTCTACTAGATTTTTCAAAGGCATGCAACGAGAAGAGTAATAATAAAAATTATAATAGATAAAACATCTTTTTAAGTGTCAGTCACAGCTTTTCTGCACGCTGTTCTCTGACACGTTCCCAACCAAAATTTAAAGAATATGATTGTTATTTTTTTTTCATTAGACACTATTTTTTCCTGGGAATGATAATTATTTGAAAAACTACAAAATAATTGAACAGGACAAGCGTTGTTTTGATTTCTACACACATTTTTTTCATGAAAACAGCGTGTCCATTTTTATTCTTTTGGGGAATTTTTTTAGGCAGCGCGTGGTTTTTAATTCAAAGACTTGGGGTGGAGTGGTGGTGAAGTTTCAGCATGTTGGAAGGAAGAGGGAGTTTGGATTTTTTTTATTTACTGAGTAGCTGCAAGGTGAATTAAAGCAGCAAAGTGCCAAAAATTGCTAACAATCGCGCTAATCTTTAAGGTGGGACTAAAATGCAGGCATCAAATCTATGAAAGTGAAAAGCGGCAGAATGAATGAATTAATGAATGTGCTACTAGTACCTTCTCCGTCCAGGTGTCATGTGCACGCTGAATAGTATATTTTCAAGTGTTAGTAACGCAAGTCACCATACGAGTAATATGTGTATTATTATGATAGAATAGTAGCATAGTGGTAATGATAGAGCATAGTAGAGAAAATTCCGAAAGAACAAGAAACAGAAAAGTATGTCTTGTAAAAAGATCTTATTTATATTTTGATACAAACTATTGGCAGTTATAATATTATATGTATATCCACAGTTAGGATGACAACAAAATAATAAAATTTATACACCATGTATAATAGAAAGTATCTAACAATTGAGTGTCTAATAGTAATAGTAAGTAATTAATAAAATCGAAAAGTTCAATTGACCTAGGTGCGGTCGTCCCATCGCCGATGACGGAGCCACGGTTTTGATTTTGAAATTTTCCAAATGTGCGCACACGTCAGCGGCGATTCAGACGCTTCGACGAGATTACTGAGAAGATGCTGTGCAACAAACAATAACGAAATCGAATACATTGATAAAGGTGTGAGAAGCAAATCAAGTAAACGTGCCAGTAAAGAATAGAATGTGTGATAATATACAATAATAATAATAAATAACTTGGTGCGATTGACAGAAATACACAATTCTCAATTCTGCAGAATAAAATGCTTTCTCTCAATTAATTAATAAGTCGAGATAGGAAATAATAATTATATTTTACAACTACCTCATGCATCACATTTAAGACGTACACTTGCTTGCAATCTGAGTAGTGTAGTTATTATATATATTTTTTTAGTAAAAAGGCTGCGCCTCTTTTCCAATCCAATGCCGACAAAGTATGCGATTGCAAAACACAAGCAAGATTAGTTAATTGTCTGCCTTTTAATAATCTCGTGTATTTAAGCATTTTTATTTATTATGTGAGTGAGTGTGCTTCATAATATAATTAGTTATCACCATCAATATTTAGAATATCTGCTTCAATCGCAATCCCAAAGTTATTTAAAATCTATTCTGCAAGTCAATAACATTTCGCGATTTTTCAGTTTGCTTTTCCCTTTTCCGGTGCTGCGAATATTTTAGTGTTTCCTGCCAGATTCAATCAAAAGTTTCGACATCGTTCCATTTTCCGATAGATAATTTTAGGGACGACCCCATACGATCTCAACTCTTTTTTTGCTGTGGCTCTCCTTAGAATATACGATATATGTGTTGTTAATTGTAAACTTATGCTTTTAGAATTGGGTGAGTTTTTGCTTGATCTCATTTAAGTTAAAAGCACGCGATTACGAACCTCCCGCCCCTACAGTGACAAAGGGTTAGTGAAAGATTCTGGGGTTGAAGAGCAGTAAGTGGTCTACATCTACAGACTAGAACATTAAGTATGTCAGACGAGTTATTTTAATTAAAAATATCCATATTATATTGAAATAAGCTATAGTCGGGCCAAGTAACATTGACATTTTTCATTGCTAATTTAAGAATAATTCCAACCTCAATAAAAAATCAAAACAATCGCAAATCAATCAGTTTCACCTGCTAGGCTGCGATGCTTATACATTCGAAGAAGGAACATTGATTCACACAACAGGGACCTCTCCTCTAACATTAAATCAGCTCTCAAAATACACCAAAGCTAAAGAGTATGTTTGTTTGATAGATGATTGTTAACTTTAGCCGAAAAATCATTTAGTTCTTATTATGTGAAAAGTTTACACGTCACTGTGGATCTATTGAGCTGCCATTAATGGAAAACACCAAAGGGCCGGACATTAAAAAGGGACTTAATGGTTTATTATTTTTTTTAATTGCAAACGATGGGGTCTAAACACGCGGGGAGGACGAGCAAATAAAAGTTGTCCAAGTTTATTTTAAACAGGAATTCACTCTTTCTAGGCGGAAAACAGCCACAATGAGCGCGTGGAGAAGTGCGTGGGACATTCTCGACAAATATAATAATACTTTTTTTTTTTAATTTATAGGACAAAGAGTCGCTCATCTATAGATATTTAAAAAAGTTTTGATCACCGATGAAGAAAAAGCTTTTGTCTGCTTGCGGACTCGCACTACCTCATCCGTCTCGCTGGACGTCCGAAAATTGATTTTTTTTTTTTATTAAATATTAGCGGAGTTGAGCTGCTTTATATTTTTTGTTATTTAAATATCATTACGAGTTAGAATATATTATATATAATAATCATCATCATTTCCCAATCGAATGCATGCTTTGCCTGCTGCAGAAACGTGAATTCGATTGTCCAAACTTACCTTAGTGTGTCTCGAAAATTCAACTCTCTCTGTCAACAGTATTAAAAGTCGCACATTTTTGTATGGATCTTTCTTTTTTTGTAAGTAAACTATTGCAAATATATCAACATGATATATCCCTCTCTCCCTAGTTAACATTGAATTGTAAAATACGCCCGTTCAGATCGCTGCAGGCATCGCGCAATAAAAATTTGTTGCTGGTATGTTCAACAAGCCAACATGAAAACATCGCAGGCTACCACTAATCTACTCATGCATGCACAAGTGCCAAGGAAACGAACGAACGAACGAGACAAATATTCATCAACACCACAGCTCCTGTTGCCGAGAGGAATATTATTTTTTTGTTCAGCTCATGCACGTAAGGCGTCAGGGTCTTTGGAGCTTGATTTTCAAAAACAGTAGCGGGGACCGAGGGCTTGAGCGAGTGTGTTATTTTTAAAGATTTTAGAATTCGCGAGATATTACGCTGTTGTTGTAAGCTCATGAGTCTGTTTTTGGAAATCAGACGCCGCAATTAAATATTAATCGGGGGAGGAAACACGAGGCGGACTGGCGCTAATAGTAATTGTACATGAAAGCCTCTTTATACTATCTAAGGCCCCAGGACTCTGGCGTTTCGGGCGAGTCGGCCTCGCGCCACGGTCTGGGCAGCATGCGTCTGTGGACGGGGGCGGACGTGGGGGCCGGCAAGTAGGAGGGGCGCAGGAAGGGGGCCGGGGAGGTAGTGAAACTGGCAGGCGACACCCACCCCTCGTTCTCGAGACGATAATGCCGATCAGCCTCTGTCTCCGACATTCTAATGTCCTCGGAGCCACTGGGGCTCATGTGGCGCGACGAGTGGTGCTCGAGTTGGCGGATTAAATCCTCGAGGTTGCGGATACGTATTGTGTTGCACGGCGGCACAGCGTCCTCGTCGCCACTATCACCGGCACTGCTTGCGATGGCCGCGGCCGCCACGGCCACCAGCTTTTCCTGGCTGGACTTGAGCAAACTGGGGTTCGGGTAGTCGCTGGCGTAGTCGTGCGGGTAGCACGCCTCCTTGAGCCGCAGCTCCTGGCTCCCGAGGCCAGACGGGCCCGCCCGGTTGGCGGCCGCCACGGCCGCTGCGGCCGCCGCCTCCAGGCCCACCGTGGAACCGGTGCGGTGCGAGGCGGCCGTCCGCAGCGCCTCCAGGATGTCCTCGTGGTAGCCGTTAAGGCTCTTCAGGGTGCGCTCCACCTCCGACACGGGCATGTCGCCCATCAGCGTGTTGTCCGACGACGACATCATGTCCTGGCTGTCCGACATCTCCTCCGCCCACTTGTCCTTCAGGTCTTGCACGGTGCCGTACGGACCAGACTTCTTCAGGATGCCCTTCTCGGGCAGCTTCGACGACGGCAGGTCGATGAACGACACGGCTTCTTCCTCTCCTGCAAAACGCCAGTGTGAATTCTCCCCACTCTTTTTTTTACCAAAACTATTCCTGATTTATGCTACACGACTTTCGCAATGAAAAATTCACAGTACCTGAAATCATGTCGTCCTCGCTGCCGGAACTGGCACCTAATCTTTTGAGCTGCATTTTATGATCCCTGCAACAAATGGGAATTTTGAGCAACTAGGTGATTAAAAAAATTTCCGCTCCTACTGACTTACAGCATAATTGATCGATTAAGGCGATTAAATTACCCTTCATTTAGCTATAAAGTAAAAAAAGGTTCAAAGTATGCATAATTCTGCTTGCATATTAAAACAATATGTTTCTCTATTTAATTAAAATTAAATTTTTAAAATGGAAGACATTTAATTATTCTTATTTTTTCTTTAATTTTAAAATATAATATTTGTATTTTTAAAAATTTTTTATATTCTCTTTTTGAAGCACAAAAAAAATTATATAAATTATAATCTAAAGATAATGAATTTAGGAAGAGATAGCCTGTCTTTACATAACTTACATAAGTTGAATATTAAGTATTAAAAATTGAAATGTTTTTAAAATTAAAGACTCATTGTGCACTTGAAACCTATTTAAAAAGTAAAATGTTGTGCTCCACTATATTGTTAAAATATCTATTCGTGACATTCATTTTCAAAGCTACTTACTGTAATCGGGCTGCTGCCATGCCAGGCGCAGTGGCGTGATTCACAGGTCTAAACAAAACTCTTCCCTGTGGATCTTGGCGACTGCGGATAAATTATCAAAGTCAATCATTGTTAGGGGTTTTTGTAATTTAATTAATTTAATGGTCGTTTTTTTGTACCTGTAGGAGGGCATGTTGCCAAAGGTGAGGATTTTGTTGGCACTGTCGAGCGCCGCCTGCTCCTCAGCAGTGTAGTTGCTACCAGCAGGGGGCGGTGGAGGCGGGGCGTCTCCGTGCTTGGGCGCGTAGTTTTTGGGCAAGGGTTTCTTGGCGTACGGCGGGTCGTACGAGTGCAGGGTGCTCCGTCTAGAATGTGCAAAGCGGCGCCGGTTAGAAAGGCCGGTCGTTTGCCTGCGCTGGGTGTGTGTGCTGATTTGATGAGGTGAAGTATGACACAACCAAACTCGAATCCGCCGCGTTCCCATTTCAATTCGAATTTAAAAGATGTATATTTTAGTTTTTGAACGAAATCAACCCGATTATTTTCAAACGCGGAGAACGGCGGCAGATTCGGGCGTTGAGCACGAAACACACGACAGAGAGAACACAAACTTGCAACACAGAGAGTTCAGATTACATCACCACAGAGGTGAAGCGTGCAAATTTGAGAAGATGGAACCAACTACATCGCCGCCAAAATACTTGCCTTTCTTCGACAAAAACTTGCCCCCAAAACTTCATTCTTCTCGAGTAAAAGTAGATAAAGAGTGAAAAATTAAAAAAAGACAGTGTTGGAAAAAAACCGAAATTTAATTTCCGCCCGATTGGATTTAATAATGAAAAATTCTCCACTTATCGGAAAATTCAAGAAGGGCCTTTCACCGGCAGACAAAAACCAAATTCGGCAAAACAGAAGCATAAGAAGAAAAGTCTGAAGTAGCTAGGTATGCAACCTGCTCGTCCTTTACGTCCGCAGGCACAGTCTAGCTGAACTTTTGGAAGTGGGGTGCGTGTGAGATAGTCGCATGCAGAAACACATTGGTTGGTTGTAGAAGAAGAAGAAGAATTGGTCTGTATGTTGAACTGTTTTTTAGTTACCTGTGGTCAGGTGGCGGCTCTGGCGGCAAAATTTTGGCGGCGATATGCGAGTGTGCGGAAGTGTTTGAAGTATTTTTTTTTCTCTTTGTGTCTGAATGACGGGTAGATGTCATTGAAAGAGAGTAACTGACGATATTCAACCTCTACCAAATACACTGATCGCATGCACTGACAGTCTACAGTCAGGAAATTGAGGAAAGGGGGCGGAAGCGGGGGTCGACGGAATTGATTTTTACTTTTTTCTTCAAAATCCTATTTTCCATCTATGACTTTGGGGGGAATCGGAAACAAATGAAGCTTCCGATTTGACTTAAAAACGGATTTTGACAGGGGTGATTTTGGTGCAGGGTAATCTTGTGTCAGTTATTCCATTTTTCTATAGTGATATCATCTCAAGTGGGACTGTGTCAGCTTGTTTTTCTGATGTCTCAGCGTATATTTACTCAAGTAAACAGATTAATGGATTGAGTGATCGTTTGGATTTTTAGCGTAACAATCACATACCTGAGGTTGAACACTGAAAAATTGCAAGAGAGTTTCGTCCGACAAAAATCAAAGGCAAAATATATCGATGCCAGATAAGTAGTGTGAATCGAGTGGGGCCTACGTAAAAATATTCGTTTCATGCTCTAGATGGTATCATAGAGAGACGATCGGTTGAAAGGAAGGAAAAAAGAAACTAAATCAAAAGTTTGTATGAGAGGTTCCCAAAGAGCGAGATAGAGAGATAATTGTTTCTAGATAATGAATGGTTCAGTTTCGACATGGTACTAGAGTCTGTAAAAATATAGGTAAAAACAGATTTCTGGGGAAGGAGTCAGCACTTAATGCACAACCAAAAAGGTAGTAGTTTCAGTTCAATTCGTCTGATCGCGCGCAAAAATCAAATGCCAATCGTGAGAAGAGAAATAAGTTTTGCACCATCCAGAACAACGTTTGATTTTATTTTTCATTTTCAATTCTTTCGACTGATTGAAGTTTATAATTAATAATAATTGGGACTCGGAAAATAATATAAAGTAAAAACAAAACGGCCGCTTTTTCAGTAAGATTACCCATTATTAAAGAATTTGGTCGAAAACATGCAACACGAGAGAAGAGAGAGAATTTTAGCTTATGGCAGAGAGAGGTTTTTGAATGTTTAAGAAGAAAAGAGAAAAAAGAGCTAGAGAGAGCTCATTGTTTGATTTGCAAGAAGAGAGGTGATCTACATTACAACACACTGGCATGCCAACACGGTTCAAGAAACTTGGCTTGCAAGAATAATTAAACCTGGGTCTACTATTCAGTGCAAATCAGAAACGGCTTTTCGGATTGAATAATCTCTAAATAAGCGGATGGGAAATAAAAACTTCCTCTAGAAACGAAAATTCAAAACGTAGATGGCGTGAAAGAAAATAATATATGGGAGAAAGTTTTCTAATCGATTTAAAAGCCAGGTGTTGAAGAAAGGGTTTGATTATTATTATTTTTTCTCATCAGAAAGAAATGGAAAAGTTGTTATTTAATAGTAGTCACAGGTTTTTCTGGTTTTACAAGGAAACACATAAAGATGTGGAAATGATAAAGATTATCGCCCACGTAAAAAACCAATAGTTTTGTTTTCAGGAGAGACACACGAATAACAAAAAGAGCGGATGTTGCGAATGGTGCAGTCAAAGTTGAGAAAGAAAAATCAGAATTTCACTCAAAATGAGTTGATTGAGAGAACACAGAAAAAGAAATTATTTGATTGAACGAGAATTAAAGTGAATGAGCAATTTATTAGTATTATTCTTTTTTCTTTTGCAAAAAACGTGAAATAAATTCTTTTGAAATAATCCCGTGATAATACAAAGATAGAGACAAAACTGCTCGAATCAATCAATCAATCGAAGAGAGAAAGATAGAGAGAAGAGAGAAAAGAACACAGAATACAATTAGAGCAAGTAATACCTCTTTAGTTCTGCAATGAACACTAACCTGAGACACAGGGAGAAGTTTTTGTGGACAACCACTGACCTGTAGCAAAGGGCCATCAGGGCAAACATAATGAACACGCCCCCCACCACGGACATGAGCGTCACCACCAAGAACACTGTGTCAGTGCTGTGGTAGTTTTCTGTCTCACGTCAACCAACAAACCACATTTAAGATTGTTAGATAGAAGTAGTGTCACATCCAGCGGGTTCGGCAGGCACAGGGGTACGGCACATTTCATCGCCATACACGCATTTTGAGTCATTTTGTACAGTGGATGCAAAGACGGACGACGTCCAGAAGAGACGGCATGCACGAAACAGAGAGAAAAAAATGGAGAAATAAAAATCTTGTTTTACTTCATAGGATATTACATAATATAATCTTAGTTAATTAATAATATCGGTAAATATGATTTTCTTTTATTAGTATAGAGAGTGGGATCAGCAAATTGAGGGCATAATTATTAATGAACGGTTGTATGTTAATCACTGTTTGTGTCAAGGGGTGACTTTGGATATTGCAGCGAGTGTTTTTGGTGAACAAGATTAGCACATATTATCGAGATTTGATTAAAAAAGACTGATAACTACATGAGTACATATGGGGCTGGAGAAATTTGCCATTGTTTGATGAATTGACAAGTGCCATGTCCTAAAATTTTACACGTGCATATATATATATATATATATGAAACTGGAATGCAAAAGTATATTTATTTTTATTAATAGCAATTATATAAAAAATAAATGTTTATTTTAATTGTCTTTCAGTTAATTACAAACTTAATTATTAATAGAATTAATATTTTTAGTTTTATATTTATTTAATTATTCATTTTAAAATTTTTGTATTATTATATCAACTATATTAGTTTATTTTTTAAGTTTTAAGGTTTCTTACGATATTTTTAAATATGAAACTTTGATTCATGCCCAATTTCAAACACATTAATATTGACTATTACGATGGAAACAATAGCCTTGGATCTCCAGCCCCACCTGGCCCCATCATGCAGTTTGGTAAAAGTTTGATTAATTTTTACTGTAAGTCTGGGAGGCCTGCTTCGGAAATTGAATCGACGCTGCTCAAAGGGGCCAATCGAAAACTTAATAATAGGACAAACTTATAAAAAAAACCAAAATATATCAATCATAACGAATCAAGAAATAGTAAGATGTTGGTCCGTCTTTAATCTAGATTAGAACACCAAAAGCCATGGCATCAGCTCCTGCAGGCACGAACCGGGCGGAATACAGAAAATAAATCTCTTATACATATTGAAAAAAAGGGGCAAATACGTAATAGCTGGTGAGAACACAGAGTTATGGGCCAAAGACACAGCTGCATCAGCCTCCGTGCGACACACATTAATTGTAATATTAAAAAAAAACGAAAAACGATTATTTCTGTACTCTCTTGCTTGCCGGTTCAAGAGATTTTTAAAATATAAAACAACGTGACACACATAATGATTTGTAGTATTTATGTCAACATAGTATTATATGATGTGTACACAGAGTAAATAAGAACTTGTGTTGAAACTGACGCCGAAGAGCACATCACAGACCGACTTGTGGGTCTCTGATGCGCTCCGTAGGCGCGCCATGCAACGAAAATTAGTTTTAAAGAGCTGTACTTTTTACTCATTCCCACCGAATTTGACTCAATTATTAGCTTGTTTAACAAATCCAATGGCAAGAAAATCCAAAATATTTTCACAAATATAAAAATTTAATGAATTTTAAATTTAATTCGTTTTTTTTTATTGTTATTATTTAGTTTTCATTGATTAAACAAAATAATTAAAGTACATGGATGGGATGGATTTCCTTAATTTTGGAGGCGTTGAACAAACTCAGAGAAACGAATACCAATTATTATGTGATCATACATGAGGGCTAGCAAGAAGAGTTTAAGATACTTCTACCGAGCACCAAGTACAGTCAAGTAAGTGAAAGTTTAAATGATGGATATCGATTGTGTTCGATGTTTGTTGAGAAATCAAAAGGAAAAACAACAACCAATGGTGATACTTAATTTACAAAACGATTAATCAGAGCTTAATCGAGATGTGATTCAAAATTAAAAACTTCCAATGAGAAAGAATTTAATTCAAAAATAATATAATAACAATAATGATGAGCAAGGGCGAGTTATTTTGTTTGAAATAAAAAAGTGCCCGCGCCAAGCTCTGCAGACATAGAAGTGATCACTGTACCTGTAGCAAACAGCCATTAGTGCAAAGCATATGAAGACACCTTTCACTACGCCGACTAATATGAAAACCATGGTCAATGTGGTTAGATTGTTTGACTGGCCACCTGTGAAGTGCCACATGCAAGCATGGATGAGAATCAACTTGTTCGGTAGCGTCGAAAAGCGTCACAGCTGAATATTAATGCGCCTTAATTGACTGCAGCAATTATTTTTTAAAGTTTCAGCCAATTAATGGGAGGGTGGAAATAAATTTTCCGACATGATTTGCACCAAAATGTGTGTGGCCTGCAAATTATTAACCGTGCTGGTGCGACGGGTTATAAAATCTTCCATAAAATTTGTGGAGGTGCTTCATATTGCGACTATGTACATACATTTTAGTGCAAACAAGTGGTGTGAATTTTGTATCGAGTGTGAAAATCGTTTTCAGAAGATTTCCCACCTACAAAGGACAAATTTATTTGGGCAAAAATTTATTATTCTTAATATATGTCATAACAATTATTGCTCTGGAGGCTCTGCAAAAATTGTTAAAAAAATCCTGCCAACTTCAAGTTGGAAAAGTGAATTCTCACCGTAAAACTTTTCTTCTCTGGTCATTTTGTCCTTGAAGTCCTCTTTTGTTATAGTTCCGCTGCCCCCAGAGACGGGCACTGATGCGGATGTGGTGGCGCCTGACATGTAAGGCGGTTGGGTTACGTCAACCGAGACTGAGCAATCTGTACCTGCCCAGCCACTGTTGCAATAGCACTTGTTCATATTTGTGCAAACCTATAATAGAATAAAATAATTTATTCTCGGTTTTAGTTTTATGAAATTTATGAAGATAAAAGTAGATTAAATTTAATTGTTCATCATAACGATACAATTATAATTATTATTTTATAACAATTTCAAATAAATTGAATAAATGAATATTACAAATTTAATTTTGTTAATACAGTATTAAATATAATTTTAAATAACAAAAACTATAAGTAGTGAAAATTAAAAAAAAAAATAGTTAAAAAATATAAAATCAAGATTTTGATTTTAAAAGTATTTTTAAATAATGCATTCTGCCAGTACAGTTATGATTTTTAATTTTTTTAACCGCAAGGAAAAATTTGTCCTAAAAGTCTAATAATGCCTGAGCTATGTCAACTTACCCCATTGCCTGAACACTGCAAATTGTTGTGGTTGCTCGGGCACTTGCCTTGGTCAATGTGCGGGAAAATGCTAACACAAGTCTGATTCACGCAAATCTGGAAGGGAGAAAACAATGCAAAACCACAATCGCAAATAAATTACTTGAAATTGTTACCAAATTGTCACCACAAGGCGAACCGTCTCGGACTAGTCCCATGTCGGGAATTTCATTCGAGTTGATTGACCCCGACGTGACCTTGCATTCAAACTCCTGGCCCTCGACCGAGACAATTGTTCTGTAGTACTGTCTATCCATTCCAGCTATTATGGGGTAACGATTTCCACCAGAGCATTGAAGCGAACCACACCGCACATTTCTTAAGAAAAATTATTATTTTTTTCTCAATAGGAGATGAAATGCTACAATTCTTACTCTTTTTCGCATTTAATGAAAAAGTCTCCATATTTTCCGCAGTTGCCATTGACAGAGCCCTGAGAATTGAAATGCTCATAGCATTTTACGTCAGATTCAACGCCACCTAATTATTTCATAGTTATATTATATTTGATTTTTTGAAGGTTTGTAAAAAATTTACCAAAGCCCCAGATTTGTTCGCACTGTAAATTGAGCGTGGGGCAGACGCCATTGAAGCAATAGCCAGTGTTGGAAGCGCATGGACTGCCATTCTTACGATAGAGGTCGGTCGGACACTGTCCGGTCTCGCCGGTGCAATACTCGGGTAGGTCGCACTCGTTGGATGCGTCGCGACACGGAGTTCCCTTTGCTCTCAACTAGAATATTTCCAAATAATAAAAAAAAAATTAATTTCACATTTATTTATTTGTTTCCTTGCATTCTTACCCTGCAGTTGTCGCAGCAGGGGCCGGTGGCGCACTCGGACTCTTTGGTAATTTTGCACGTGAGGGGGTCGCAGCACGGATCTTTTTCGCGACATGACTCTAAAGTGCCACAATCGCAATCCTCACCCTCCTCCACAATCAGGTTGCCACAAGTGCGACGAATATGCAGCTATTGAAAAAGTACATAAGCCATTTTAATTAGAGTTAATGTTTTTAAATTTAATGCGGTTTTTTTTTCAAACAGGCCCAAAATATGTCATTTTACGCAATAAAAGTGAAAATTTATACCAAATTGGGCTTAAAATTGGTATTTTATATTAGTATAAATTACTGCAGTTTTCATAAATAATAATAATTAATATAAAATTAATCATTTATTTTATATTGGCTATATTTAAAGTAGAAAGTATTAAAATAAATTATTTTAAAGACTTTTAAAAACTAATGGAGCATTTTAACTCAGATGCATGCATTAAATCAAAGTTAGATTATTATTTTCTTTCTTTAAGGTAAATTGCAGCTTTTTGTATTATATTTATGAAAATTGTCATACCACATCAGCGACTTCATTGGGCTTGTTTAACAAGCACAAGGCGAGGCTATTGCGGAGTGTGTCGATGTAGTCGCTTCTGCTGCACTCGGAGAACATGTACGGCTGCACGTTGTTGTGGCCGACGATGCTCTGGGCCATTATGCAACCGTGCCAAGTTGTGCACTCGCATTCCTTTCCTGAGATGGGAAAAGGGTTAAGATTATGCAAGATTGTGGCCACACTTCTTGGCAAGTGAGTTTCCATTTAGAAAATTAAATTCATGTTTTCAATAAAAGATGGCAATCCAAAGTTTTCTACTGCATTATTTTGAAAAACTATGCAGATGATAACAATTTTCTTCAAAAAAATCAGAAAAATGATACTTTACGAAGATGCATTTTTAGCATTTATTTTTTAAATAAAATAAAAAAATTGCCACTTACTTCCGTCATCGTGTCCCATGCCGATGTTGTGTCCGATCATGTGGGCCATGGTGCTGCCCAGGAGGTGCGGTTCATACACATTGATGTCCACGCTGATGCCAACCGACTTGGCGGTGCACACGGTCTGCGGCACGGCCATGCCACTTTCTCCGCCCGAGAAAGTTTCACCCCTGCGAATATAGTCGCGTGTTTAATCAAAGGAGTGCAAATATTGTTGCTCGACGAGCAAGTCGGAGCGACAATTTAAATATTTGCTGCGACTTGAAACTCCCGAGCAAGAGTCGAATGAATCACGCGCGCTCCAACTTTTGAGATAATTTCGTTAGGCGCGCATTAATTTGCGAGGGAAGCACTCACGAGAGCAGTTGGGTCGTGTCCTTCTCCACCGAGTACAGCTTGCGCGACGTGTAGTCGTTGAAGTTGAGCAGGGCGCGGCTGATGTCTTGATTGCGGTCCACCATCGCCTGGTTTGTGTTCTGCCACGTCTCGATGTAAACCACCGACACCCGAGTTCGCAACGTTCGAAAGTACTGAAAATTGTCAAGAATCATAATTAAAGAAAATTTTGTAATTTTCCTTAGAAAAGATAAAAAACAATAATAAAAAATTTGGTTTTGCATTTATTTTATTGTTGAAATCAATTAATTAAAAATGCGGAGCTTTGTCTTTTCATGGTCTCAAAATTTGATTCAGAAAGCCAAATTTGTACTTTCTGACCCCTATCATTTGAATAAGGTGAATAAACTTGAAACAAAACAAAACTAATTTTTAATTTTTTGCTTTCCTTCTTTCTTTAATTTATTGCAACTTTGGAGATCTATTTTAGGGGAATCCATTGTTGTTTTATCTTTTAAGGATAGTTTCACTTGATGAAACATAATGTTAATTACTTATTTGAATTTATTTTTCAATCAAATTATCGAACTGATTGGGTATTATCTCGCATCTTATTGTTAGTTAGCAAACAATACACCAATATATTTTACAGTGAAACAGTGAAAAAAAATTGGTGGTCTTTTTTAATATTCCACGCTTTGAAATTTGATAGAAAAAATAATCAGATTACAAACAAATTTTCCCCCGACATTTGAAGCAATCTTTTTTTCAATGCTGCCCTTTGCCTGGAGGAAGACAAGAGCTCCTTTTGTCTGAAAAATCTGTTGCGTAAAGTGATTTATCTCTGAAGTGAGTTCTCATTTTTTTTCGTGCGAACAAAAGGGTCCCCTCGACAGCCTGATGAGTGATAGGGGCCATTTCGCGGCACGGACACGCCTAATAATAATAAAGCCTGGCGGGCCGTGCATCCAATGTGACAAAGTGAAGTGCGGCCGCCGGGCCATTTTATTCCGCGGATTGCATTGTGATGATGCTCTCTCGCAGAGATAATCTTTCGCTATGGCTTTGTGCACGCACCCGCTTTCGTGTATTTGTATATTATCAAGGGCTAGTGCGTGTGTGCGTTCGGGACTAGCTCTTCCGCAGACAAATGAAAGTGGTGGACGGATACACATTCTATTATTACGGTTATTCGTCAGAGTGGCAGCTTAATTACTATTATCGTTAATCGCGAAAAACAAAGAGCAGAAAATGGACTCAAACTCACCAGGTCAGCGATGTTGGCAACCTGGATCGCGTCCGTGACCACGTCTTGCCGCGAGCTGCCGTTCCTCTTCTCAAACTGGAAAATTTTAAGAACAAATTAGTTTCACATACATACTGCTAATTGTTTATATTTCATTTCCATAACTTATGTCACATTAAGGATTATTTGAATAGATTATTTTGAAACCTGCGTTTCTTTAAAACACAAATTTTTTGTGAGCTTCTTGCTTTAAAAATTAATTAATTAATTAAACAATAAGACATAAAATATCAAAATTTATTGTTTCAATTTGGAACACTCACTCTAGTGAAGTTCACAAAATAAAATACTGTAATTGGTGCATATAGAAAATTTTAGTTTGCAACGTAAATTATGTTAGCTAATCACATTAAATTAACTATCAGAGATGTCAACTTCTTCAAACAAAAATTATATTCCTTAAACTTTTTTTGAATTATTAAAAATTTAATAAAGTACTTAGTGCTGTCAAATTATTAACTTAATTTAACTTTGTTTGTTAACACTCCATTAATTTTTCTACTGAATGTCCAAATTATTGAATTTTTGAAGTCCCAAATCATAGATTTAAATAAAAAATACAAACAATTATAATTATTGCTAAAATTAGAATGTAAATTTTGTTGCTCACCATGGCTTTGTCCAGGATGAGCGCCAGCTCGATGTACTTGGTGGTGTCCCGGACGTCCCTGGGCACTCTGCCTGGCTGGGCGGAGGGGGTGGGCGCCTCCCTAGTGAACTTCTTCTTGAGGCGCCACTCCATGTTGACGCTGTTGGCGCAGCCCTTGTGCTGCTTTGTGCGCGCCTCAAATATCACGTGTGGATGCTTCTGCTAAAGAAAGCAAAGCTGTGCAGCAATCATAATCGAAACAACACCTCGCTCGCTCGCAGTTTGCCTCTAATTATTCTGCTCGCCTGCTCGTCTCTAATTCGAGCGAGCAGCCGCAAAAGCGGCGACAACTCTCGAACTGCAGACACTCGACGAGAATTATGTGCCAAGAAATTACTCTTTAATGAGAAAGGACAAGTAGTTCCACCACGGCTTTTGTCACCCGCTCTCTCGGGAGGGATTTGCAGTTGGGCACGAATTTCGGGATAATTGAGGTTTCGAGCGCCGAAATCTTTTCCGAGCCGACACTGCGACGTGTGACAAGCGCGCCAAACTACCAACCGCATCATTAAGATTCGGTGCGCAGACTGAATATTACGTTATGGGGAGCATGGAAAATCAAAATTCCTCGATAAAAACGACGTAAACACTCATGATACAATAAATATGAAGTTTCACTTCATTATTCTAACTGCAACTAAATTATATTTAAAGTTGACAATGATAATTTATTATTAAATTCATAGTTAAAATTTAGTTGCTCTGATTAGTTTGCTATTGATAAATTTATATTTATACAATAGAAGTTTTTATTTTATGTAAATTTTTTAAGCCCATTAGGGCAAAATAACTCAAAAAATTGGCTGCATTAGCGTAAGTGAGCTTTTACGTCACTAACTTAATATTCTAATCACGCGTTTTTGAGGCCGACTCTGTTGCTCTCGCCGCCGGCCAAACCTGTGCGTGCGTTTTGCGTCGAGTGTGTTGTACGCGAGTGTGTTTTGTCTGCAGTAATTATGAGACAAAGCTCTCGCCACTAATTTGTTTCGTCGGCGTGCAGCTGAGACTGCCGGGAAATGTAAACGAGCGTCGACTTGGGACACAATCCGACTCTCTGCTGATTTCTTGGTGGAGCCGCATTGTTTTCACGCGCACGGGGTGCTGGAATTTAATTAGCACCACCACTCCATCAGAGTTTGCTAACTAAACCAATTACTTTGGGTCACGAATAGCGGGAAAACAGAGAGATAATCGCATATCGGGAAGAGAAGAACAAAATTAAAAAAATCATGAGAATTAAAAAAAAGTTATATAGCAATTTAAAATCCACCAAAATTTTAAAATCTTTTTCAATTTTGCTTCAAAACTGTATCTATCCAGATATTAAATATTCCATATGTATACATTTTATTTATTTATGTCCTTCAAAAAATTTGTTGTATGGGTCAGTTATTCATTGTCAGATTAATTTTAAATTCAGATATAAATGATCTTGTGATAAAAAAAACATTTTATTATAATTTTTGCTCATTTTTGCAAGCCTTTTAATGATTTAGTTACCGAGCTCACTAAACAAGTAATTCAGGCGCGATTATTTCAATGTGGGACGCGCGGCTCTTTTTACAACGAGCCATGAATAATGAATCGAGAATGGCGTCGACTTTGCGCTGCGAGAGAACAACTTTTGTCGCAGCGTTGAGCTATTATTTTATTCGTCGACGCTTTTCCGCCTTGTCTACTATAGAGCGAGCAATTCTCATTTCGTGCGTGCGTGCTTGCCTAATAGAGAGCCATGCAACAAAAGAAGAGGAGCACACACTCAAGCTCTCGGTAAATTTCCTTCTGCTAAAGAAAGTTTTCTGCTCGTCTGATGCTCCTCTGCGCTCTGTTGTTAATAATTCTCTGGCGGGGGAAATTTGCTTCCTGTTTTGCTCGGAAACTTTGGAAAAATTTATGCCCCCATTCTAGACTCCGCCTTATACCGTCGAGGGGAATTTCTAACTGTACATTCTCTGGGCAAAAAGCAGAGGCAAGCTCGGAACTACCTTTTTTCCTTGCATTGAAATGATTCTGATAAAATTTTGAAGAAATATTTTCTGCTTACGATTTGTTTGCAAAGGAAAATTGGTTTGATCGCGTTGGAAAAAATTCCCTTTGAAACATTCGCCAATTCCACCTTGTTCGATAAAGTCGAATAAAATTGTAATATCTGGAAGATTTTGTATTACTCGACAAGCCGAAAATATTTGTGCCGCCGGAAATAATAATGCTGGGCCGAAAGCGTTTTGTCCTCTCCCTCTTCGCAGTCGGGCACAAAAATGCAATAAAAATAATAAGGGGATGGCGATCGGAAAAGGCCAAAGGCCGAAGCGATTTGTCAATATATTGGACCACTTATAGTTGGCAAAGTATTCTCCTAATTCTCAGCCAGTAGCCCCTCGATGCACCAAACTATAAAAACTCGGCGAGGAAATTTACGATCTGCAGAGCCCGTCGCTTTTACTTTGGCAGACACTTATTTTTTCCAGCTTTTTAACGTAGTGCGATTTTCACTGGGCTAGAGAGGCTTTGAAGTCGCCTGCACACTTTGCACCATTGCTGATGTACGTATAAGGCAAAGGGTCACAATTACACGCGAGTCGCATTTGACGTGAAAAGCAGCGAGTGACTGGCCGAGCGTTATGTAATGCCAGCAGAGAGAGAGAAACTTTTGGCACTTGGCTTACAAGGGCCCTTTCTGCTGGTGCGCTGCTGGCCGGGGTCAAGGAATCTGACAAGGAAGCAATTACTAATTCCTCGGGAGGAAACGCCGTCATTTCCTAGAGCTACAAGTAAGCAACTCGTCTCGGTGCGGCGACGACAAATCGCATCGCCGCACGAGAGAAGTCGATAACACAACATGTGCCTTCCTTTTATATACTACATACCATTACTATATTTGGAGGAGTGGAGCTTGTTAAGAAAAGTCATTTTCTTTTATATCTCAAATACAAAATGCTGATAGGGAAAATAACTTTGTTATTCCGAGGCAAAAGCGTAAAAATCTCAATTTCCTCAATTAAAAATTATGAAATTTATACTTTAATCGCTTTAATCATTATTATTGATGTTTAATTGTCAACATTGTTGCAAATACATTGTTAATATTCAATTGTTGAAAACTTAAAAAAGGAATTGTTGAACAAAATGGCACCATCACTAGCAATAATTTTGTTAAAACTTCCGAAAAAAAACCTATCCACCGCAGTGAGCCTCTACGAAATTTTAATGAAATAAAAACAAATAATATTTATCATAGGAAAACTACAATTTCATTATAAAAGGAGCAAACTTGCCTGAAAACGGTGAAAAACAGCATGAAACTTTCTAAAAAAGATTCTTAAAAATTATACAGCCACACGTTTTGTTAAAATGAGTTGATTTTGTTTCCATTTTGAAATATAATACTTATATCTTAAATTATCACTCGACTATACAAATTAATTAATTAATTACAAATTATATCATCAAATTGATATCAAAACTCGTTTTGTGAAATAAGTTCTAATTAAAGTGCTCATTTTTTTTCAACTTGATTGATTGTTTCAGGAATTATATTCAAAAACTTCAATCGCTGGAATAATTTGAATCTGAATATAATGTAAGTTATAGATGAAAGCCGTTAAGACGGTTTGGTTCTGCGAATATTCTGAAAGATGGCCAGACTCACTTCTATATTCCCATAATGCCGTCCACTAAAAATTCACGTTACGTGCAAAACGACCCACTTCTTCTTCTTTATGGCATCAAAATATGCGCGAGCACATTGTCCGAATCACCGGTGATTAAATTCGACGGCTTCTCTTGGTCTAACTCCCGAGGGCGGGTCCAAATCCGGCCAGGAAATGAGCTTGATTTTGAATTTATGATTGGGTCGCTTTTACGACCGGCGTCTCGGAATTACGGCTGACAGGGTGAGTGAATTTTTAGCAGTTCGCCTTGAATGCTCGCACCAAAAATCTACATTTTATTTACGCCGGCAAATTTGCTTCTCGGAAATGTATCTTTATTGTGGCGTTGAAAAGGGATTTTTTTTGTCAGGCTACAAAGGTGGTTTAATATAGAAGTTGAGAGCGAAAAGGGCAGTTGTTGCGGCGTCGACAAAGGCGAGAGACCGCTTGCTTTTTGTCGTCGTTCGATTTGCATACAACTAGGCATCCGGCAGGTCCACCTTGCAGAAGGGTGGCCACGCCAATTTGCAGCGCGCACAAAAGCGGAGGCCGCGTTGCCATGCCGACCGCGACCTTCCCGGAAAATCGACTGACAACACACTATTCCCATGCTAAAATCAAGTCCTGTTTATTTAGCCATGAGCGGCGTATTTGCACAAACGGCCGCTTTGAAATATTTGCGCGTCAATAATTGCGTTACCATTGAAAAACGTTAATTAATATTACACACAAGAGTTAATTATTTATTGGAATGTATGCTTTGTGCGAAAAATCACTTTTTTGATTGACTTTGATTGCCAACCACCAGAAACGTTAAATTGGAAACTTTCGGCAAAATAATTTCCAACAAAACTTCATTAATTTATAGCTCAGAGTATTCACTAAGATAAAATAAAATAATATTAATTAATTGCGACAAAATTTATTCATGTATCTGAATGGAGAATAAATAAATAAATAAAAATTTGGCTATACATAAATATTAGGCGCACAAATTTTACAAGTTATTTTATTATTCTGTAATAAAAGAGAAGTTAAAAGATGTACTTTAAAGACATTGTAAATATTTTTATCAAATGCAAAATACAAATCAAAAATGAAATTGAATCTAATGGGATATTTGAAAGTTTTCTTACGAGTTTTTATTTTTAACAAATCACAACCTTCAAAAAGTAAATGTTTTACAAAAATGTATCCACAATTAGAAATAATCATCATGCACTCACAAGTCCGAGCACGTTTCAAAATAAAAACATTTAATCTGATGAGTGGCGACCTATATACGCGAGCTGCAGCAACGGCCCCATTTTCCACTACTCTAAATTGCAGCAGCAAAAATTCTTGGATTTTCCCGCATGCACTCGCACATTTCTGCCGTGGCACTTTTGTTGTTGTTTGTTAAGCGCAAATGCTGCATTGCTGGATCGTAATTAACAGCTGGTGCATGTCAGGTGTATGTTTAACATTTTTTTTTAACTTTTTTTCCGCCGCTGGGTGTTGTAATTATACGGC